TTGGATGGCAAGTTCGGTGAGAAATTGGTGAATGCTCGTCATGTAGGTCGCGTTAGTGGCCTGGAGGTGGGGGGAGTGATTGTAGAGGTCCGAGAAATATGATGTAAACACTTCATTAATAGTGTCGGGCGTCTTTGCTAGTGTGTTTGCTGTTGTGCGTATTTTCGTTATGGTTTTGCCTTGCGGCCTCGGGCGTAGTACCCTAGCCATCTGTCTTGTTCGCCTTTTCATAGAATAGGCGTCTCGACCACAGTATGGAACGCGATACCGCCTCCAGCGTGATATCCCTGATAGAGTGTCTGAGTGCGTTTAGTTCCCTAAGGTTCGAGTCAGTCGGATTGGTTTTGTGTTGTTGCTCCTTTTTGCGTAGGGCTGACTGTAGGTCGAGCAGCTGTTTCGTTTTAGCTCGCTTTTTCTGGGTGGCTAGGTTTATAAAGTGGCCGCGTAGGACTGCTTTGTGTGCTGCTCAGACCGCGGTGGGGCTAGCTTCGGGAGTAGCGTTGGTCTCAAAGTATTCTGTGATAGCCTGTTGGGTCTTTGCTTGTGTTTTATCATCCCTCAAGAGGCTAGTGTTGAGCCTCCACGACCAGTTGGATTTATAGCATAAGTTGCCTAGCGTGAGTGTTATGTCCGCGTGATCTGACCATGTGATGCTGTTAATGTCCAAGTGGAGGACTTTGGCCATCCCTGCCCCATTAAGAAACATGTTGTCTATTCTGGAGTAGGTATTGTGTGGCGCGGAGTAGAATGTGTAGTCAGATGTGGTCGGGTGCTGCAGCCGCCAAGCATCTAGTAGGCCTGTGTGTGTCAAGAACGTGTGCAATAGCTTGTCTTGGCTCCCTCTGCTCTGTGATCTCACGGTTTGCTGTTTTGATCTTCTATCCGCTGCCGGACTAGGCACCGCATTGAAGTTGCCTCCAACGAGGAGGACCCCCCCCCAGCCCCCGCCACCAACATCTCCAGGTTTGTCCAGAACAGATGGTCTGGTTCGTTGGGTCATATACGTTAATGATATGCACTTTTGTGGTGTAGAGGGTGCCCCCTATGTACAGGAATCTCCCCTCTGGGTCAGCTTGAATGGTGGTGATGTGTAGTGGGCAGTTTTTATGCAGGAGGATCGCCACTCCTGCTCGCTTACGTTGTGAGCGTGCTTCGTGTACTGTCGTGTAGGTTCTGTCAGTTAGTCTGGTGGGCGCCGACCTGGGGAGGTGCATCTCCTGTATCAGTGCAATGTCTATTTTTTGGTCTTTAGGTCCCTTACCAGGAATCTGCGCTTGTTGGGGGAGTTGAGACCCTTGACATTAAAGGATAGTACCTTAAGTGCCATGAGGAGGCGCGAGCAGTGCCATTACTGTTGCGGGATTCCCGGTCCTCTTGGAACCGCGGAGCGCAGTGTGCGTGTGGTCAATTGTGAGGGCCCCCCTCGGTGGCGCGGGCGGCATCCTGGCAGATAGAGTGGGTTGTAGATCAATACTTGTCTTAAGAGATAGTGTAAGAAGAAGAGAGAGAAGTTGAGTGTCAAGGAACATTTTCAACATACATGCATATGAACAAATAAAATAAACACATGAGAACAATCTGGTCTTAACCTGTGCCAGATTAAGGTGGGGGTGTTCACCCCTTCCAAGTGGCGTGCAGAAAGTCACCTCTCGGAGTTGATGATCCCCCCGCGCCTATCCACTATAGTATGGTGGGCAACCAGCGTTGTGTTACGGCCCGCAGTCTAGGGTATTTCAGTGGGGCGATAAGCATCTTTATTTGCTCCTCCGTGCCCAGGTTTTGCGCCCTTGCCGCTTTACCGCGGCGTCCGCCCCAGGTTCCTGTTATCCTGTGGGTCACTGGGTTTTAATGCTGGGGTGAACCCCGGTCTTATTTGGGTTGAGGGTGCCTCAGGAGGGTTTTTTTTTTTTTTTGGGGGGGGAGTTATGGGTGGTCCCTACTGTGGTGTCAGCGGGTACGTTGGGCCCCGGCTAATGCCCCTCGTCTATGGTGCATAGATGCCTTCGTTGCTTTTACGGCCCAGCCAGGGGCTACCTGTCTTGCAGGTAGTAGGGGTTGGGGTGTGTCCAGGTGGTCCTCGCGGGTTTAGCCCCCCCGGGGCCTAGCGTGCTGCTGTGTTTCTGCTTCAGCAAATTTCTTATGCGTTATGCATTATGCCTATCTGCTCTACCCCCCACCCCCACCCCCCCTGGTGGTACATCCCCAAAGCTAGTGACCAGGCCATTAGAAGTGAGGCTTCTAAAAATAAGATAAAAATAAAATAAGGGCGCAATAGAGTAAAGTAATATAATATAAGGGGCAGTTTTGTTTAGTATAGTGTCCCCTTCTGGAAACTTAGCTGTCCTGTGTGCGGACAATGCCGCTGTGAGTCCTGAGAATGCAGACCTGCTTTAGGCTTCAGTTCTCCCGGTCTGCTTGTGCCGTGACCGTATACCAGTCTCTTGGGAGAGGTGTGAGGGCTTGTCGAGCGGGTCCTGGTAAAGCAAAGTGGTGGTGGTGTGACGTCCAGGTCCCGGAGGAATTTTCGTGGGTCTCCTCCTGGTAAGTAGGTGATTGGTCTCCCAGCTTTAAGGGCCACGATTTTAAATGGGTGACCCCAGGTGAAGCGGATTTCGTGTTGCCGCAAGAGGTCTGTCAACGGCTTCCAATCCCGCCGTCCCTGCAGTGTGCTCGGGGCCATATCTTGGTATAGGGAGATGGATTTGCCCTTGTATGTGAATTCGTGATTTCTATTGTGCCTCAGGAGTGCCTCCTTAGTGGTGTAGTGGTGGAAGCATATTATGATGTCTCTTGGCACATCTGTGTTCGAGCGCCGGGCACGCAGAGCCCTGTGCGCCCAGTCCATCGCCCATTGGGCTTTCGGTATGTCCGGTAGCATGCTGCTGAAGTACGCCTCCATAATGGGCGTGAGGGGGCCTTCTTGTGTTGCCTCTGGCCATCCCCTGACGCGGAGATTATTCCGCCTTGTGCGGTTTGAAAGATCCTCCACTTGCATTTCCAGCTTGCTGAGGTGGTGATTCAGGGATGTGGAGTGCTGCACCATCGTGTTATGGCCTTGTACTATAGCTTCCATGCGCTGCTCCAGCTCTGAAGTGCGGGCGCCTAGGGCCTGAATTTTGGCCTTAATATCTAGTGTGCTGCGCGTGATTTCGCCCGCCAGGAACGTTTTAACTTCTGCTAGTTGTTGCAGGATTTGTGCGGTGTTATCGCCGTGTTGTCCAGGCTGTCCCCTGTCTGTTTCTGCGGAAGGGGATTGCGAGCCTTCTGTGCCCGTCCGGCGGCCATCTTGTGCGGCCTGTGTGTTCCTCGTGGCTGCGAACATGTCGGCCACTGTCGGGGATGAATCGTGTGGTTCCCCTCTTTTTTTTTCTGCGTGGGGTGACTCCAGGGCCCGTGTGGGACATGTAGGTAGCTGTTTGTGGTTGCGATGCTTGTTGCTGGTGCTTGATTATACGTGGATGCGCGGGAGCTCCCTTGCTAAGCTGCCATCTTTGTCGGCTGCCAAGCCACGCCCCCTTGAGCATACTTTTTAACCAAGAAGTGCTACATGCCACTAAGTAGCATTTGAAAGTTATTTGATAAAAAGTCCTATTGATTATAGTAACACAGCCTACCACAGCAAATGTTAGCCATAAAGGGATACAATAGTCACCAGATCAACAAGTAAGGTGGTTGTCCTGGTGTCTACTTCCTGTACCTGCAGGCTTTTTAGAGAAAAGGCAGTGTTTACATTACTACTTAGTAATACCTCTAGTGGCAGTCACTCAGATGGCCACTAGAGGTGCTTCCTGTGTTAATGCTGCACAATGTGCTGCACAGACAATCAGCATCTCCACACTCTGCACGGGGGTGCTGAACGTTCATAGAGATGCATTAATTCAGAGATGCTGATTGGCTGATTGGCATCTGATGCATTTCCTATGGTAAAGCATTAGATTGGCTGAGATCATCTTGGTTGATGATCTTAGTCAAGAAGGCGGAGCGGGAAAAAACTTGAGTAAACACCTTTTTAACGGGGGAAAAATGGGGCATGGGGCCTACACTGTGATCTCAGAACTATAGTTTCGGGACTACATATTTGTATTCCTGACACTATATTGTTCCTTTAAGGAAATCTAATATTTTACTTTGCATTATCCATACCTACATCAAACTTATGCATAGTGGAAAGTTTTTTCCAGATGAATTTGGACAAAAATAATTGTAGTTTTGTCCGAAACAACTTTTGGCCATTAGTCAATTATTTTTGAATGAAATTCATCCAATATTTTCTGTTCCAGATTTCCATTCGTAAATCTTTCAGTGGTTTAGAGTAATAGTCCCTATTTTGGTACCCTTATCTGGGATGCCATATTTATGGTAAGCTGTATTTAGATAGATAGATAGTACCCAATTTTGGTTTCTTTCAATATGGCCATCCCATATAAGAATACTAAATTAGGGAGCTATCTACTAAACAGGAAAATACCAAAATTAAGAAAAGGGCTCTTTTTATAATTCTTTATTTTTCTTGTGCATCCAAATACATATAAGCTCATAGTGCCACAACAGCAACAATAAGCACATGTACACGTGTACAAGCAAAACAGATGGGTGACAGTCGAATAATCTGCACAAATTGTTAAAGATCTACAGGACAGAACATGGGACAGGCTAAGTATACATGTCTTGAATGCAAATGTTATGGAAGAGGATTAACTAGACATTTTAGTAGCATATATGTATAAAACATGCATATGAGACATAACAAACATAAAGCAGTGATAGGAAAAGGAGAAAAGGCAGGAATCTCTGGTTTATTGACAAGATCGTAACTGGACATGGGCAAGATCTCCACCATTGGAGGTCAATCGACACCGCACGCGGGCCACAATAGACAGCTAGTCTCTATAACTGCCTTCTTCTTGCCTCTCGTTTCCATAGGGCTTTGGGAAATTAGCCGTGTGTCATGCTTGCAGCTTTTAAGTCGAGACTGCTGTACTTTGGCTCTTCACTCCCAGGAGCCCAGTCCTTTAAGAGAGCTAGTACCTCACTCACTGGGACCTCTCCCCTCCATTGCACAAGATCTCGGGCCGGGGAGTGCTCTGAAATCAGGGGAAGTGTTGGTTGGAGGTAGCTCCATTCTGGCCTCCAATTCGGACAAGGATCGGCAGCAGGGCCGTTTGAAGGAATTTGGGGGCCCCAAGCAAAATGTACATGGAGGCGCCCCCAGCCCCCTATCCCACACGCACACAAAGCCTACAGGAACCACAGCATAGCCATACAGTTTAAGTTCACCCACACTTTATATAAATAAAAAAGGTTTACAGTGCAAATACTGCTCTTGCATATACTGTGCATAAATAAAAAATGTTTACAGTGCAAATACTGCTGATGCATATAATGTGCATAAAATTTGAACATTTTCAACAATTGAAAATTCCCTGTGTTCTCCTCATCTCCGCTTCTCCTCACCCCCTCCCTGTGTTCTCCTCATCTCCCCACCTCCCCCTTCCCTGTGTTCTCCTCATCTCCCCTTCTCCTCACCCCCTCCCTGTGTTCTTCTACCCCCTCCCTGTGTTCTTCTTACTTCCTCCCTCCCTGTGTTCTTCTTACTCCTCCCTCCATATGTTTCTTACTACTCTCCCCTCTCCCTCCCTTATGTTCTTCTTTCTCTTACCCTCCCTGTGTCCTTCTTACTCCCTCCCACCTCCCTGTGTCCTTCTTACTCCCTCCCCCTGTCCTTCTTACTCCTTCTCCCCCTCCCTGTGTCCTTCTTACTCCCCTCCCCCATGTTCTTTTTACTCCCCCCTCTAGCTCCCCATGTTTTTTTTTACTCCCCCATGTTCTTTTTACTCCCCCCCTGCAGATATCACGGGTCAAGCAGGATGGCCGGGTAATATTGATTATGAATGCCCTCCCAGAAGTCCTTATCAAATGTAGCGTCAAAATGCTCTCTCCATGTTTTGGCAGACTACCCCTCCTGGGATCGTGAAGGCAGCAATGTGGCAGCCATTTTAGGCGCACCTTGCAGTTGTCATTTCAGCAAGAGATTCCGCTGTGGTGGAGAGGGGAGTGTCCACAGTGGGGACCGGGATATCCCCCACCGGTCCATGGGGGGGGGCCGCAGGGCTTCAGAGATGTCTCCATATAGAGTGTGTCCTGTGCCGGGGGATCAGCCACAACCCCCGGACACGAGAACATGTTAGAAAGCATGTCTGGCCATCTAGGCTGTTAGGTCCGCCCCCAGAAAAGGGTCTTTTTTTAATTTCAATCTTTCTGCTGTTTAGTAGATAACACCCAAAATAAAATAAATACAATTATGTGGAATTGCCATATTTTAAGGTACAAAATTAGGGACCGGCTTACTAAGTAGCTCCCTTATTTGACATCCTTAAATAGCACTACCAAATATTGGATACCAAATTAAGGAAGTATCTACTAAGCAGCTGTAAGATCAAAATTAAGAAAAGCAATTTTCCACATTTTTGCCTTTCAGCTGTTTGGTAGATAACTCCCTAATGTGGTACTCTGAAGAGGAATTGCCAATATTTAAGAAAACTAAATTAAGGAGCTGCTTAGTAGATAGCTCCTTTATTTGTCACCTGAATGTGGAATTACAAATATTTAATAATACCAAATCAGTAAACTGTTTAGTAGATATGTCCCTAATAGTAGATAGGTATCTTATTGTGGGATTGCCATATTTAAGAATACTAAATAGCAATCTTTATTTTGTAAACACAACAGCTCCATCATTTGTTACCCTTAAATATAGTAATCTCACAGAAGGGTACTAGTTTTAGGAATTTAGGAAACAAGAATGAACAAATGAATTACGTAATTAATTGCACATGTAAGGATTTAGTTTTTTTGTGAGAGAATCTGTCATTTTTTTCATTCTGCCTTTAGGAGATTTGGAATTTGGACAAATGAGCCTCGATTCTTCCAAAAATGAATGACCAAGTCTAATATACATATTATAGATGTGCCAGACAGATTTTGTTTCAGAAAATGAAAAGAAAAAAATTCTCCAAATCTAGGGCAGTCAATATTAACTGTGGGACACATCAGAAGCAACCAATCTGACAAGCAGGTATAGAAGATAGAGAATTGTGATTACTGCAAAGGCATGCATTATAGTTACCATGACAACCTGTTCTCTCTGTTATAATAGTTTTCTGCTGTATCTCCCCACACACACTTGTACACTTAAATATATATATATATAAAACTAGCAAATATTTGATTTGTATATGGTTGCATTTTTTAAAAAAGTGTTTTTGCTTTTCTCCCAAGGACGGTCGGAAATATCTGTAAATGTGACGTTGTCTCTATAATGAAGTGTTCATAATGTCAATGCTGTCCTACGTCATTCATGAGGAGGACTGTTTGGTTGGAGAAACATGGTTGTGAGCCATGTAAAAAAAAGTGTTGATTTCTTATTGCTCATTGCATTGCTCTTTCCTTTTTGATTGTGATTGTGGATTTGGGGTTTTCATGAGCTGTAAGCCATAATCACCGCACTTATGACAAATCACGGTTTGAACTATCTTGCTTTGCATGTAATGCGTTTATCTCATATATTAGTTTCCCCTTTTAAGTTGCATTACTGAAATAAATGAACTTTTTCACTATATTCTAATTTTTCGAGTATCACCTGTATACACTTCCATTCCTCTTTCTGATACTGTATGTCCACATACAGTATTGATTTTTTTGATTGGGTAACTAAAATTATAGATCAGGGTGGTGCAGTAGACATTGCTTACCTAAATTTCAGTAAGGCTTTTGACACTGTTGCACATAGAAGGCTTATCAATAAACTGCAATATTTAAGTTTGGATTCCAATATTGTTGAATGGGTAAGGCAGTGGCCAGGGGCGGACTGACCGGTCGCGCACTTCGGACACGGTCTGAGGGCCCGGCCGGGAGGGGGGCCCGCCGCCAGGGCCGCCTTCAGGGGGCCCGGCGGCAGGGCTGGATTGGGGGCAGCATTTGGGGACTGCAGGTGCCACCGGGTGGCCGGTCCGGTGGCACACTGTGAGGGGGGGCCGGCCGTTTCATGCTGCAGCCGCCGGACCGGGTAGCAGCCTCGCCGGTCCGGCGGCATTCCTCTGACTAACACTGAAGGAGGAGGAGGAGCAGCATGTGTCTGTCATTGCGGTTCCCACACATGGGAACCGCAAAGGAGCATGACAGACACATGCTCCTCCTCCTCCCCCTTCAGTGTTAGTCAGAGGAATGCCGCCGGACCGGCGAGGCTGCCACCCGTCCGGCGGCGCAGCATAAACGGCGGCCTGACTATAGGGAGTATAAGGGGGGGGAAAGAGATATGGGAGGGGGGAGAAAGAGAGAGATATGGGGAGAAAGAGGGGGAAAGAGATATGGGAGAGGAGGGGAAAGAGATATAAGAGAGAAAGAGGGGAACAGAGATATAGAGATATGGGGAGAGGGAGGGGGAACAGAGATATGGGAGAGAGGGGAGAAAGGGGGGAACAGAGATATGGGGAGAAAGGGGGGGAACAGAGATATGGAGAAAGAGGGGGAACAGAGGAGGGAAAGAGGGGGGAACAGAGATATGGAAAGAAAGGGGGGAACAGAGATATGGGGAGGGGGGAGACAGACAGAGAGGGAAGAATGAGACACTGGGAGAAAGAGGGGGAATAGAGAGATAGGGAGGGGGAGAAAGAGACACAGGGGGAGAAAGAGATGGGGAGGGGGAGAAAGAGACAGAGAGGAAGAGAGATGTGGGGGAGAGACAGGGAAAGGGGGGAGAAAAACAGTGGAAGAGAAGGAGAAAGAGGCAGAGGGGTAAGAGAGACTGGGAAGGAGGGGGGAGAAAGAAACATACAGAGGGACGGGGGGAGACAAAAAGGCACACAGAAGGGCTGTATATATCACTGGTGGATCCAGGGGGGCAACAGGGCAATTGCTCCCCCTCCCCTGTCCGCAGGCACCGTGCGGGCAGGGGAGGAGGAAGAGAGGACCTGGGAGCTCACCCTGCAGCTCCTCTGGGTCCTTCTTGCACGAGCACAGAGCGTTGCCGCGATTACCATGGCAACGTTACCGCTCTTGCGAGAGTCAACTCTAGCCCTGGAGCTACGGTCTAGTGTTCACTCTCAACACTGTGACCCCCAGGGATTCCTGGTGGTCGCAGTGGTGAGAGTGAACTCTAGCCCCATAAACACACTGCCCCCACACACACACCATACACATTCACACACTGCCCCCATACACACCATATACATTTACACACATTGCCTCACACACACACATACACTGCCCACCCATATACACATAGACCCCCATACACAGCCCCCCATACTAACATTGCCACACACGTACACAGCCCACACACCCTACACATTCACACACTACACCCCCACACACACTGAACCTTTCACACACATTGCACCACTGCTCCTATTCCCTACTACAGCCCCATATCCCAGCAGATCCCAGGTAAGTTGTCAAACTGTTCTTAAATGGTTTGACTACTTACTCTGGATCAGTAGTGGTTATTGCGCATGGATTATTTATTTAAATAATCTACAAGTGCCCCAGTAGCCAGCCAGCCAACCCACAGGCTGGCCAGTAGCCAGCCAGTAGCCAGCCCACAGGCCAGTAGCCAGCCCACAGGCCTACAGCAAGCCACAGGCTTACAGCCAGCAAGCCCACAGCCTGCCAGTCGCAGCCAGCAAGCCACAGCCTGCCAGTCGCAGCCAGCAAGCCACAGCCTGCCAGCCGCAGTCAGCAAGCCCACAGCCTGCCGGCAGTAGCCAGCAAGCCCACAGCCTGCCGGCAGTAGCCAGCAAGCCCACAGCCTGCCAGCCGCAGCAAGCAAGCCCACAGACTGCCAGCCAGCAACAGTAATTAAGGTAAGAGGAGCCAACTTGGCCTAGGTATCAGTGAGCTATGTTGTGTTGCTATATTGTGAATAGGAACCAGAGTGTTGGAGAGACCACCCTCCAGGCCCCATTAGACTCCATTGTAGTCTCTAATGGGGCCTGGAGGAGATTCTTTCTAACACACTCTCTAAAGGACACTGAGATAGCCTCTGCTAGAAATCCCCTCCATGGCCCATTAGCCCTCAATTGTAGTCTCTACTGGGGCCTCGAAGGGCTTATTGCCCTTTTTGTTCCTTGTGTCTAAAGATTGTGTAGGGTGTGGCTGGAGGCGGTGCATGGAGGCGGGACAAGGGTGGCGCTTGCTGCAGAGTATGGGTGGGGCCTGTAAGGGGGCCCTTGATTTATTTTTCCCGGGGGCCCTGAGGGTTCTCAGTCCGCCCCTGGCAGTGGCTGAGTGACAGGCAACAGAGGGTTGTAGTCAATGGAGTATATTCAAAGGTTGGGCTGGTCACCAGTGGGGTACCTCAGGGATCTGTACTTGGACCCATTCTCTTTAATATTTTTATTAGTGATATTGCAGAAGATCTTGATGGTAAGGTATGTCTTTTTGCTGATGATACTAAGATATGTAACAGGGTTGATGTTCCAGGACGGATAAGCCAAATGGCAAATGATTTAGGTAAACTAGAAAATGGTCAGAGTTGTGGCAACTGACATTTAATGTGGTTAAGTGCAAGATAATGCATCTTGGACGCAAAAACCCAAGGGCAGAGTACAGAATATTTGATAGAGTCCTAACCTCAACATCTGAGGAAAGGGATTTAGGGGTGTTTATTTCTGATGACTTAAAGGTAGGCAGACAATGTAATAGAGCAGCAGGAAATGCTAGCAGAATGCTTGGTTGTACAGGGAAAGGTATTAGCAGTAGAAAGAGGGAAGTGCTCATACCATTGTACAAAACACTGGTGAGACCTCACTTGGAGCATTGTACGCAGTACTTGAGACCGTATCTTCAGAAGGATATTGATACCTTAGAGAGAGTTCAGAGAAGGGCTACTAAACTGGTTCATAGATTGCAGGATACAACTTACCAGAAAAGGTTAAAGGATCTTAACATGTATAGCTTGGAGGAAAGACGAGACAGGGGGGGGATTCGATAGAAACATTTAAATACATAAAGGGAATCAACACAGTAAAGGAGGAGACTATATTTAAAAGAAGAAAAACTACCACAACAAGAGGACATAGTCTTAAATTAGAGGGACAAAGGTTTAAAAATAATATCAGGAAGTATTACTTTACTGAGAGGGTAGTGGATGCCTTCCAGCTGAAGTGGTAGAGGTTAACACAGCAAAGGAGTTTATGCATGCATGGGATAGGCATAAGGCTATCCTAACTATAAGATAAGGTATTTAGAAAATTGGGCAGACTAGATGGGCCAAATGTTCTATGTTTCACATTCTATGTTTCTATCCCCACAGCATGATGCTGCCAACACCATTTTTCACTGTGGGGATGGTGTTCTTTGGGTGATGTGATGTGTTGGGTCTGCGCCAGACATAGCGTTTTCTTTGGCCAAAAAGTTCGATTTTGGACTCATCAGACCAGAGCACCTTCCTCCATACATTTTGGGAGTCTCCCACATGCCTTTTCGCAAACTCAAAACGTGCCATTTTGCTTTTTGCTGAAAGTAATGGCTTTCTTATGGCCACTCTGCCATAAAGCCCAACTCTATGGAGCGTACAGCTTATTGTCGTCCCATGTACAGATACTCCAGTTTGTGGAACTCTGCAGCTCCTCCAGGGTTACCTTAGGTCTCTGTGCTGCCTCTCTGATTAATGCCCTCCTTGCCCGGTCAGTGAATTTTGGTGGGCGGCCGTCTCTTGGCAGGTTTGCTATTGTGCCATGTTTTTTCCATTTGTTTATGATAGATTTGATGGTGCTCCTGGGGATTATTTTTATAACTTAACCCTGACTTGTACTTCTCAACAACATTGTCCCTTACTTGTTTGGAGAGTTTCCTTGGTCTTCATGGCGGTGTTTGGTTAGTGGTGCCTCTTGCTTAGGTGTTGCAGCCTCTGGGGCCTTTCAGAAAAGGTGTGTATATGATCATGTGACACTTAGATTGCACACAGGTGGACATCATTTCACTAATTATGTGACTTCTGAAGGTAATTGGTTGCACCAAAGCTTTTTATGGGCTTCATAACAAAGGGGGTGAATACATATGCACATGCCAATTTTCTATTTTCTATTTCTAAGAAATTGTTTTATGTATATATTTTTTTCTAATTTCACTTCCCCAACTTAGACTACTGTGTTCTGATCCATCACATAAAATTCAGATTAATAAAACATTGAACTTAAGGCTGTAATGTAACAAAATAGGTAAAATGTCAAGGGGGATGTATACTTTTGCAAGGCACTGTATACAACTGAAGAAACAGATGTATGCGATGGCATCCTACACCTGTACATTTACACTGTATGAGTTGCACTACTAGTGATGTATGTTGGAGTTACTGTGGGCAGTGTGGCACATATTACGATTAGTAATGGACATGTCTCAAGATACCTTTTTGAGGGAGAGTGTGTTCCCTCTTGTGGGACATCTTCCAAATGTCTGTTGAACTAGACCCCTGACCTTTTTGTCCCTCTCGAGGGTCTAATTACACATTAACAGAGGTTATTCAACAAGGTTACCTTGGTTACTTGTCTGACTCTTGCTGCCTGTTGGCTTATGGACATGCCCTTCAGATAGATCTTATTGTACCTGAAATTAAAGTTTATGGTGGCCACTTCTTGCGCCTTCACACTTTATGGGGGTGAGTCCTCTCTGTGTGAGAGTTTTATTTTGTTCACTCATCCTGCGAGCACCTGTTGGGAGCATTTTTTTTTTCTTCATGGCTGCTTGTGTATTTCCAGGGGCATTTGTATTGCATTCCATTCTCTATGGGGAGGCATTTCTTTTTGCTTTTCAGTTTGTGAAACATCCCTCTATTTGGGGAGTTTTTGCTGATGCCATGCCCTGCATACTTTGCCCATCTGCAACAATAGCAAGGATCTCATGAGTTATTATTAACACAAATTATCTTTAATTGCTTTCTTGTACACTGTATTTAAAGGTCCACTATTCTATGTGGTATTAGCTTGACAAAGACCCCGGTGGAGGTCGAAACATTGCTGTGCATGTAATGGTCCAATAAACTGCTTTATATTTGAACAAAGTTTAAGTGCCTGAGCGTCCTGGACATATATCTTATGTATGGGCTGTACTGACCTTGGCTCAGTAAAGTACCTTGTTCTTTGGATAAGTGCAATCCTTGTTTTGTGAACATATACAGGACATGGCCTCTGTGTCACATTTAGCAAGGTCTCTTACAAAATCATTATTTGGAACAACTGATAATATTTCAAGAAATGATAATAAAATGGTTTTAGCTTTGTCAGTTATGTTCATGTTTGTAATCTTTGGTTCTGTCATTAGTTGCAAGTATTTAATGTTTCTATATAAATTTTAGTTGGAAATATTTTGCTTCATATATTTCAACACGCCAGGTGACCATAAACTTTCATGTTAACATTTTTTATTTTTATTGCAACAGTGAGAGCAATGGGTTACAGACTAAATATGAGCATTTTAATCTTCTACCTATTAAGACAAACAATTAGTAGGAATTTGAAAGTTAGCATTGCGACATAGGAGGTACTATAACTTTTCAAAAGAGGGAGATGGCCCATCTAATGGCCAGTTCAACTTGGTTATAGAGTCTGCAATGCTGGAGATCTCCTTCCACCTTTCTGATTGCAGAGATCTATGTAATGCTTGATCTGTCTTCACAAAGGACATTCGTGAGTCAAGATCTTCAATCCTTGATGAAATGTGACGCAGCTCAGCATCCTTGTTCAACATCTTAACAGAAAATATATGACTATTATTATCAGAAACATACTCTCATCATTATACAAATAGCATCCCTGAATGCAAAATCTGCCTTAGGCAGTGTTTCCTCATATATTTTTCAGAAGTATGTATAGATCTGTTCAATATGTATTTAAATTGTGAATGATAATGAATTAAACAGATATAATACAGCCTCCAAGAGAGTACTTGCCAGTCAGCCAGCTGCTATAGGTTTGATACATTGATCCTAAGCAACGTAAAGTACAAGCAAATTATTTCTGATCGGACTATTTAAACAACGCTTTACAGTCCAGCAATTTTGGATTTTGTAGGCGTCATAGCTCACCTCTCCCCAGTGGTCCACATGCACTATAACAGGCCAAGACAATGACACATTGACCAATGTCTATTCTGTAGTTTGCAGCATCTCATAATCTCATGCCATCGAAGACACAGAACATACTTTAGTTACTTTCACAAGACTTTAAAAAAACTTTTAAAAAAACTCTTGAATTAAAAGATTACAAAGTGCAGCTCAAAATAATAGATGAATTTGAGACTGTAAAGAAAAGAAAGACCAGAGTGGTCAATGGAAAAAGGGCGCCCCCTAATTGATTGCTATGATAATATGTATAGCTAAAATTTAACTTTTAATGATTACTATTTAAAAAGAAATAAAAAGACAAAAAATATATTAAGATCAATATGGAGAGGTGAAAATGCCTCTGGGTGGGTTATATAATCCAACTTGTTAAATCCCCTCATAGAAAAAGAAGAACTTAGAGGTGGATGCAAAAATCAAAAAAAGGGGGGAGAAAACCCACTCAGACATACAACCTTGCTACAAATAAATGATCTAATGTGAAAAACTACTAAGTTGCTAATGCTATAACTCTCCTAGTACAATAGCAACATTCCAAACTAATGTTAACATTCATACAGGTAGGAAAGAAAAATATATCTGTAAAGTATATAGTCACACAGATCATTGACAATGTAGCTAGAGTGCTCAATTAAATTGAAGTCAGCACTAGATACAAAGTATAAATTGCCTTCTATGCATTCTCAGAGTTAAACCTCCTGTGGAATTGGTGTAATTAGAGGGGAGGAAAAAATGTTGCAACCCATCTTTTTTTTTTTTTTTTTTTTTTTAAGAGTAGGTCTAAAGTTTACAATTTATTTTTTAATTTACCCAAAAAATATAATTTAGAATATAAACCCCAGTTTTCTCTCTATGTAACCAAAGCTGAACATATAATTAATATTGATGACAATATTCTTTCTTTGTAAATAATTACATATTAACACGTAAGTAATAACAATACTCTAGTTATACGGTTATGGATAAACTCTTTATAAATAAAAGAGATTTTTAGAGAATATGAGGATTTCTATGAGGGATCATAAAGTTTGACCATGTGTTCAAATATAAACCCGTTATACCAGTCTAGCACTGATTCAGCGCTTTGAGCTTTCAGCAACTTGGTGATTCATGTCACTCTTTACGTTAAAACACAATCCACATATAACTACTGCAACAACTGAACCATCGTATTACAGAAAAAGAACTGTAACTCGCAAGTAATACCTGCCAAAACCACATAGCATGTTTCTCACTAACTATCAAACAACCAACAAACAGCAGTAATGCGCCAGACACCGACAACAAGAAGGTGAGATCAACTGACAGACAAACAGTAATACAACTGTGATAGCTGTCAGTCTTCTATGCCAGAAAAAAAATGCTGTAATAATTTAACAACAATATTGCGGGACACTTACAATCTATGAGATACTGCTTGAGACACCCTTTGTCTACACAAGCACACACATAATTAGTAACACATCTTTAATTAGCCACTTTCAAACACCTAAATTGACACATACATATAGAATTATCCATGAAGAATTTTCCAAACACTTACCTAATTAGCAACACAAACACACACTAGAACACACACAGACTATAACACACTAACACTGCTACACAGACACACTCAAGCAAACCAAATATTTCCTAATATACTTACGTAGATGCATACTAACACTCATGCAGTACTCACTAGCACTCGTCTATGAACACACTAACATGCATTCAAGTACACTGTAAAAAATATTTATAGAAACACACAGCTATTTACCAAAGTGAGAATTGCTGTGAATTCAATTTAAATTTAAAAATGTAGGCCAAAATTGCTGAATTAGAAACATTATGCAAGTCAATTCTGTTTTCAATTTGGGTATTTTGACCTTGGATTTCGAATTCATGTTGAATTCACAGCAATTCTCACTCTAGTTAATAACCCTGGCACTAACATTCACAAACACTACACTGCCCATAGGAAATAAATAAACAATAATATTACTATTTAGTATCTGTACCCCAATAAGAACATACATGCATTTTTTCATTGTAGGTATATCTAAAAATGACTTACAAAACCTTTGCAAGCCTTCCCCTTCTAACCCCACCCAGACTTTCTGGGACCAGCCAATCACAGGCTCCCCAATGTAGCTCAATAAGAAGTCTTAGCACAGAGCACCTGCTTTGCAATTGTCTGCCTCTTGAGTTACTCTTGAGTAATTCCACAGAGCCAAACAACCAGCAAGTAACAGGACATGTTGTGGGATTGAAAGCCAGTGGTGTAACCAGGTTAATTTATATTATTCTTTAATTTCAATTGAATTCTGCAATTTTTGTTGCTTTAGTGTTCCTTTAATACACACACTGTCTTACTCTCCTAACCTTACATAGAACAATAGGTAAGTGTGCTCCACACAGTTTCTGTTATCTGCACTTAGGAAAGCAGCACCTGGCACCACAACCTCCCCTCAGCTCACAGTAAATCAAGCAGCATCTGGTCTGATATCACCTCATGGCATCCACTACCTATCTCTGTGTTGTGATGCATTGGGCGGGGCTAGAAGTTTCTGCTTGCGTGGCACCTACTGGTTATCATTGTCTATGCGGCCTCTGCCGTGTATGGCCTAGGTCTGGTGTCCTGCTTGCACCTCCCAAAGGCCAGTGCACAGATTTGCCAGTGCTAAATAAAGCGTGACAACTGGCTGATAGGGATGGGATTTGGGGAACCAGATTGTGAATTCAATAAAGCTTTAGATTTTCTTTTGACACTGTATTTTCAGCCTACAATTGGCAAATCTGCAGCACCTTCACCTCCAAATCATTTTTGGTGTATAAATCCGTCTTATAATATATGCAGAAATACACCCATACACTGGACTGGACAGTTATACGTCATTCTATTCTCCATTGCTTCCTATTTCTGATCCATCCTACATGTTCTCACCTTCTCATCTTCATTCTCAAATTCTTTTATACCGCCTCAGTTCAAATTGTTTCCATTTCTCTTTCACCCTATCTTATTAACTTGCCACACTCATTGAGTTTATTTCCCCCAGTATTTCTTTCTACCTGTGCCACGTAACACTTGTTGCAAGTCATTATTAATGTTTCCTCTGATCACATGTCCACCATGCCATGTTCTTCGTATATCAAGCCCATGTCAATTTCCCAGGGCCCAGCTGATGTTGTGTTAAGGGACCTATAAGAACAGTGCGCAGACATGTCATACACCAGGGTACCGTTCATCGATATCTCCCTTTACATTTGATAGTGCTACAGCAGTGCTGGGTTTGAGCTTGAAGAGAATATTATTTCAAAGCAAAACGCAAAAATACAGGAATTTAATCCTGCAAGCATTATAGGAAGTTAATCCTGCAAGGAAGTTATAGGAAGTTAATCCTGCAAGCATTATTTAGATGAAGGGGAGTCATCATATAAGAGGTGAAATGGAGAAAATTACAAAGTGATAGGTATAAGTGACATGACTAGGTGTGTCACATGAGCTGGAGGGCAAATAACTTTGCTAGGTGAATAAGTTAGACTATAGAATGAGGTGAACATTAGGGAAATTACTTTGGTTTCTGGACAACTGCCAATGTAGGGGGAAAACTGTAAAACAACGTACCCTGTCTAGGATCTTCTTTAATTTTTATCTTGCTATGGAATTGTGTCAAACAAAGAGAAACTTGCACCATATCAGAAAAACAGTAAGCATAAGTGAGTATTGTACTTGCGGTTTCCCTTTAACTAATCATCCACTTTTAATTTCAGAACAAAATAATCCCTTTATGTGGTAACATGGGAAATAGATTCACAAAGTTCTTAAAGTGCATAGAAATATCAATTTTCACTATCATCCGTGATGGCTAAGGTTCTGTCTGTGAACCATATGTGATATGCAGCTCAGCCAACTTTCAATCTGCTTACTTTGGCTTAACAACTGTTAGTGATAAGTAAATTTGACAAGAGTAATGATCGTAGTATAAAGCATCACATGGAAAACATCTATAAGGCACAGAAAAAAAAAAAAAGAAGTTGGAGGTTTGAATTTCTGTGCTTATTGCTAATTACATTTGCATTAATTAATCCAAGCACTTTCCCTTTAAACATACACAACTCATTTGAGAAAACAGGTAAACTGATTATCTGTAATTTTCACCACAATGCAGTTACAGCCAATTGTATTTACAGATTTATAACATACAGTATTAGTAGACTCAAACAAACTCCAGTAACACATGGATACATTAACATATAGATGTAGGACTTGCTTGCTACGCATGCATTCCTATTCGAAGACTAGCCTGTAGATAAAAACAGATGAAAGTTGCATTGTATTGTGCCTGAAGTAAGAGCACCACTGTGCCTTTAACTGAGAATGCAACAGAAGAAATGATGGAGTACCACCTGCTGGTCAACAGTCTTACTGCAATCACTTTAAATGAGCTACGCAATTCTTGTTACATTTCCAGAACTATTTAAGTGCTTAATTTAAGAATTGTATGTATCATTTTACCACATCATTGTGCATATATATTACTCCATAGGGCATGATATACCAGGAGTATTTTAATACTGGATTTTTAGCTGTGGTTTTGGCAGCTGGAAATCCTGCAATAAATTCTCTGTTAGATTATTTTTAAGCCATACTACACTGGCAGGATGAGGTAGAATGTATTGTTGAAATAATAAGTAAAATGAAATATGTAATCATTAAACACTAATTAAAGGAACACTATAGGGTCAGGAACACAAACATATATTCCTGACCCTATAGTGTTTAATCCACCATTTAGGTGGCTTGTCCTCCCCCAGCCCCCTTAGAAAAGATGAAAACTCACCTTATTTCCAGCGCTGCGCGGGTCCACTGACACTGGTTCGCCCCCGATCCGCCTCCTTGGTGACATCAGAATTGCCAAATTGTAGCCAATCGTCTGAAATCATCAAGGAGGCAGGATGGGGGTGGGGCCAAACACAGTTTTAGCCAATCAGCACCTCCTCATAGAGTTGCACTGTATCAATGCATCTCTATGATGCTGAACGGCAGTGCTGCCTACTGTGCCATCTGAGGAGTGGCTACTTGGAGGTGTTCCTAGGGGGGAATGTAAACACTGCATTTTCACTGAAAAAGCAGTGTTTGTACGAAAATGCCTGAAGGCAATGATTATAACTACATTAAGCTGTAGTTGTTTGGGTGACTATAGTGTCCCTTTAATGTTTTACCTGAGTTTGCAAATTACTTGCATGGTCAACCAGTAAACCTTTGTCTCTTCTCAGTTCAGTGTTGAGTTGATGTTCTTTGGCCAATAATGCTTGTAGTTCAGCGATACGACTACCAATAGTAGCTACACTTAAATCCTGTAGTTTCTTTCCACTTTGAAGGATGTAAATCTAGGGGAAAACAATTACAAAATAGCATTCTATATGTATGACAAATACAACAACAATGGAAGTGTGCTCCTTGTGTCCATATAAAAAGTAATACAATAGATTTAAAAAGTGAAGCAAACAAGTGAGATTTGATTGACCACTATTTTAAGCTATTAAATACCGGGACTAATTTTCACTGTAGGACATGAGCAATTTTTGGAATTTGAGAAGTGTTATTCCAACCATAGAACTATTAAGTGCACCTTCATTTACCATATATTGCCTTTTAAAGGTCATATTGGACTTTCTTTGAAACATTATTGTAAATACACAACACTTTATTAAACATAAAATGAAAAACAAACAGGAATATTTAATAAAATGGGTGTTTTACATTGTTTTGTCTATAATCATGTTTACACTAATAGGATATCAACCAAAAATGTATCATTTGAAAGTTAATCCAACCCTTTTTGAAGAACCTTTCATTAAATTTAGAATGATCTACTGGACATTGCTCATTAGCCCCTCCCTCTTTAAAATTCAGGTTTTAAACTTACCTGAAATACAGCACCGGTGAAGCTCCCAGCGCTCCTCGTTATGCCCCATTCACAAAGAGAAGCATTTTATTGGACCACTGTCACTGGCTCAGAAAGCATATAAAGGAAGGGAATGGATGGGGAGGGCTGTACTAATATAAAAAAAAAAAAAAAAAAAATCTAAAGGAGGTAGGGAGGACTGGGAGGGACTGCTATGATAAAGGGAAGTAGTGTGGAAGAAACAAGCTTTACCATGCTGACCACGTCTGTTGCCAACACACAGTGCATGCTGATTACAGATGTATTATTTGTACAGAATTAATATTGCCTGTGCAAGGACTGTAACTAGCCCACAGGACACAAGTCCAAATATCTCTGGATGTGCAGTGTTTTAAGCAGAAACACTGCACATACAGACTCCTACCACCATAACCACTTCTAAAACCAGAAGGTGGTTAGAATAAACCTTTATCGCATTCACTCAAGTGTCTTCATTTTGGAAAAATCTCATATGTCTAGGCAATATTACATGTCACATATAATAAAGGTAATTACATTTTTAGCACTATTTTACAACTACAACTTTCCAAAGCATTTTAAAGTATAGTATAATGATTAAGGGATTCTGGTTTAAAAATGGTAGCATTAGGGGAGCTGGTGGTTATGGAGGCAATGTCCACATTTACACCCAGTCACTGAATAAGAGTCAGATAGTCTTGCAGGACTCTTTGATCACTGTACACTACAATTATCAAGAGTTATTTTTTTTTTGCTAGGGCTTAGGGACATTATGGACATGGATGACTGATGTTTATACTTAGCCCCAAGTCACACTCACACTTCAGGTAATTGAATGAGAACCAGTCTTGGAGGGTTCTTTGGCCAATGTATATTATGTTTAGAAGGTTAGGAATTGAGAATATTGGATGGGGGATTAAATTTAGTAATTAGACCTAAGGAATTAAATTGATTATTGTATAAAATAATCATCAATGGATTAAGTGCATTTTGAAAGGAAGTGGGGTTTAAGGACACTAGAGGAAAGGAGCTACCTCCAAAGCTACCTCTCACTGGTGATCAGTATGTGTAGTATTTCATGCATATGATACAAGCTCAAAGAGATTGCATGCTGGAAAATGTCAATTAAGGGACAGATCATAACTGCTCCAGTCCTGTAACAGTTAAGATGAGCCATTTCCCCTGAGACTGCAAACACAGATGGACACTATAGTTGTTTACTGTGGTGTGTTGGTACGTCACTGGTCCTTGGGGTCCTTTTTTGTAACATGCCAATTCATCACAGGCCCTTATGGAATTAGAGAAGATAACAAGAAAAATAGACATTTTAAAACAGTCTGCACAGCTATTCATATTAATAAAATACTCATATGGTAAAAGGGGAAAAAAAAACTCCATCAAATTAGATTCTGTAATTTCCTTCCAAAATGTAAGAATCTACTAAGAGACTGCAGGTAATTAGAGGTATATTATGCTTTCCCTTGTTTATATATGTCTGGTGCTTTAGCGCTCAGCACACAGAATACATGAAAGTTGACCACAACAATCCACTAACGGACAGCCCTTACTAATCTATTTATAGTGAGATCTTTGGAACAGCTAGTGAATTAGCTAATAAAGCTATTTCTCATAAATGTGTTAACTGTACCGCGAGTAGAAAGCTAGAAAATGCCACCTTGCCACCTGTGTAAAATATGTTTGAGTGACCACAAGGTAAGTAGAACAGATGATTCACGCTCTCAATTTCCTCCCCTATACTATCAGTTCTATAGGTCCTGTTTTATCATTTTCCTCCTCTTATTTTTTAATTTTGCTCATTTATTTTGTTATTCATTCCTGCAACGTACCCATTTTCCCATTTCTGTATCATATTGCTATGGATTTTTTCTATACCCTTTATACCCTCCCCTGAACCAATATTTATTAATGTACCCTTCTATCTTCAATCTTGCTGTAATTAGTAATCAACTTACACTGCACAATGGATGTACAAACCACATCAGCCTCTCTTTTACTGTTCCATCCATTGACATACAATGAGCTCATGAGTCTCCCATATTTCATGTGGGCTATTTGCATGTGTTTCTTGTATTTGTTTAAAGGACCACTATAGTGCCAGGAAAACATACTCGTTTTCCTGGCACTAAAGTGCCCTGAGGGTGCCCCCTTCTCCTCCTCTTCGGCTGAATGGGCATTCAGCCAGTCCATAGGAAAGCATTCACGAGGCTTTCCTATGGACGCTGGCGTCTTCTCAATGTGATTTTCACAGTGAGAAGCACGCAAGCGCCTCTAGCGGCTGTCAAGAGACAGCCAATGGAGGCTGGATTAACCCATTTATAAACATAGCAGTTTCTCTGAAACTGCTATGTTTATAAAAAAAAGGGTTAACCCTAGCTGGACCTGGCACCCAGACCACTTCATTAAGCTGAAGTGGTCTGGGTGCCTATAGTGGTCCTTTAATGCAGTGCTGTGTTTGTACAGAAACAACTCTTCAAGAAATGTGGAATAATAAATGTACAGCGGGCCTAGATCACTGTAGCATACAGTGTTCAAAGAGCCATGCAAGTCTGTCTGACTCTCACTCAGTGAATGTGAGACAGAGACTGGGTGTAAATGTGAATTTTGCATCCATACCCACCAGCTCTCTTAATGCTAACATTTTCAAACCAGAATCCCTTAATCATATAGGGGATGGAGTAAGGAATATAGTGAGGGAGTGATGTGTTGATATGGAAGGTGTAGCTGGATCTACATGAAGTGGGCTGTACTTGTTAAGAAAAAACAGACAAATGTAGCAGACTTTTTTGATGCAAATTGATATGGGATGCTTAGAAAAATGCATAGTTCAGGGCTGAACTCGATATAAAGTAGACTGAAAATTGCAGATTCTATTTTACTAAATGCAGGCCTAAAAATATAAATATTTTAAACTGGCCATGATCAAAGCTGGGACAACATTATATTCAGTTTCATGAATATGTGTCTTTAAAACAAGATTACTATAAAACTTTCAGCATAAAATTTCAAACTGGGAATAAGTGGTGTTAAAATACATTTACAAATTGTTTAATTTCCACACAATGATGACATTTTTATTGAATTATATATGATTTGCATCTTATCTACAGTAGACACTGTCAATACAAATGAAGCTGTACATAAATCCTTTAACCCAGTGTCAGTATCCTGGTGTCGTATTGTGTAATCACCTGTTCCATTGTGTCCTTGAATTGGATCTTCTCCAGTTGTAAGAGTTCTTGGTACCGCTTGACCTCATTGCTCAGATGCTCCTCTCGGTCTTTCACACTGAGAAGCTGAGCGATGCTGGAAGAATCATAGGAGTTATTCTCTTCTTTAAGGCCTCTATGCTGGAAAACAGGAATAGGCACATTAATTTACACTTCTATTTATAATCACAAGCAGGATCATTTACCAAACAGAAAACCAAGGAGAACGGACCAGAGAATTGCACATTTTAGGTTAAAACAGGCAAGATGGTTACAACTGTTTACAAATGCGAAGGCTTGGCCTGCAGTTGTGGGAGTATGTTACCCTATATAAACCCACTACTCACTTTCCTCCGTCCCGTACGTGCTCTAGCGACTCATATGTCGCTATTTCCGGTGCCATCTCCTCCCTTGCCTGGCCCCCTTGTGTGTTTTCCTTACCTGGCCTGCTGTTCCGCCGCGGTCCTTTCTGGGCTCTGCTCCGGTCGGCTGTCCGTCCACGACAAGTCTTCTGATTCGTGAGTTACTTACCCTACCGTCACGCCACGGTCGCAGTTCCCATGCAGTTCCTCCCTCTGCTCCTTTCGTGTGTTTATTCGTTTCCTCTCTTAGTTTTCTTTCCAAACTCCCGAACGTATTGGCCTCACTGTTCGGGAGTTTCTTTCCCGCATTCCTGTTGCTCGCATGGTTTCACATTCGTCTGTTTCCTGGGGTTTTCGTGGCTATATAGGGTTCGCCTATATAGGCTTCATTTGATTTTCTGCACAAAAGCCCTATGGCCGGATAGGGCTTTCGTACAGTTTTTGTTTTCATATGGTCATGTTGTCAACCGCGGTGTGTGGTGACTCCATACAGGGCAGCCAGAGATGATTTCTTACATGGTGTAATCATGGAGGGATCTCTGTCCCTCAGTTTAATCCCTTCAGCTACAGCCGTTTTGTTTTTCTCTGCTCACACGATTGAATAACATGCCTGGTCCTTTTTTTTTTTTTTTTTTTTAGTGCTAACTTTTTATAGACATGTGGTGGTTCATGAACCTATTGGAACAGTTTTAAGCGATCAGCAGTACCATTATTGTGGCTTCCTTGGACACTGCTCTACCTTGAAATAGTTCCCCAGTTTTGTGTTACCTGTTTTTCTTTTATGAATGCCTTAAAAAGATTATTAATAATAATAATAATAAATAAAATAAAACAGGAACTTTTTCTAACTTCTCTGTAATCTGGCTCAGACACCACATAAACGTCCTAATTATTTGTTGGACAATGCTGGGTATAAGCAATTAGTGCTTAAAAGACCACTGTTATAGTAGATGGCAGCCGCAGTCTCAATATGACCACATATGTTACCTTTTTCACACAAATAAGTAAATGGGGAGTTATTCGCTAAATAGTTAACTCTGGTGAATTAACGAAATGTTGCCATTTTAGGTTTGAGATAGCTGACGTGGGTTCCTGATTCAGGGAAAATACCACAGTATACCAATGTTGTGTCAGCAGCTGTTACTACGACTTCTCATTCTAATTACGTTTTTTTTTTTTTTTACCCGGGCACTGGTATTAGTGTTTATCCATTGCAAGTTTGATGGGAGCTCTTTTTATGGTTGAAATGATATGATCCCCAGTAGGGCGTCGTTTGACACTCCATTTTGTGTCCCAGGAACACTATATATAAAAAAAAAAAAATTTAACCTACATCTTAGTACTTAGCTATTAGTGCTCAGATTTGGCGACCAGCCAAGTATGGTGGGTGTTCAAATTACACTGTGAAGTGATATCTCTGTAGACCCATGCAGACAGATTGCTGAGAATGTGTACAGCCGGGTGCTGATGTTTTCTATATGCAATTTACTTTTTTCATGTCATAAGCTATTTTATATTTGGATCGGTGCATCGCGCCAAAAATTTTTGTACAGTGTCATACCACGTTTTTTCGGTCCCGTCGCAAAGCCCGCGTTCTTCTTTCGTGTTTTCGTTTCCCTGCTTGGCTGGACCGCCATACTCCTCGTGCTACATTATTTTCCTGCACCCCCCCAAGTTTCGTTTCTCAGGTACGTTCTCTCTCTCACTCGCTACCCTCCCCTCTTCCTAGGTGTCCACTAGTTGTGATTTCCCCCTGGCTTCTTCGCCTTAGTTTAGTGGTCCCGTGAGGCCAAAACCCATCCTCATACTCGGAGGTACCACACCCCTCGGGCCAAATCATAGTTAGTCGCCTCGCATTGTGGCATAGAGAGGGCCTCACCTGTCACTCCCATTCTATCTTATGTTTAACTGTCACCGAGAGGCCGACACCCCGCCACAACGTTCAGTGGCCACGTTATCCCCTCGCGCCAACGCACAGATAGAGCCTCTCACGCCGCTTGGCATCTAGCAGGGCCTCACCTGTCACCAAATTTAGTTTTAATTGTTTCGCCTTTTGGCATTAGCTAGTATGCCAGCACACATTGGGTCATATATACGCTGCTTATTCGCTTCCTTTTTCTTACTCCATACGGTCTGACCAGTTGTAATTCCCCTGGCTTCTTTGCCTTAGGTTAGTGGTCCAGCGAGGCAAACACTCATCCTCATCCTCGGAGGTACTACACCCCTCGGGCCAAATCATAGTTAGTCGCCTCGCATTGTGGCATAGAGAGGGCCTCACCTGTCACTCCCATTCTATCTTATGTTTAACTGTCACCAAGAGGCCAACACCCCGCAACAACGTTCAGTGGCCACGTTATCCCCTCGCGCCAACGCATAGATAGAGCCTCTCACGCCACTTGGCATCTAACAGGGCCTCATCTGTCACCAAATCTAGTTTTAATTGTTTTGCATTTTTGGCATTAGCTAGTTTGCCAGCACACAATGGGTCCTATTTGCGCTATTTAATCTTTTTCTAGCATGTCTCCGCTACCAGGCGGTGACGTAATACTTCTCCTGCCCTGCTCTCCGGCTAGGTCTGGTACCCCGTCACACTGTAAGATTGGGCTACTCATACCTACTTTTCATATCCTGGTCTCTTCCTCGCTTTGCTGCGGTTCTTAGTCGACATATTCCTTCCCCGGCAGCCTTTCAGACGTCTGATCCGTCAGTGTCACTGTCTGCCTCCATGGATAACGCTGTTGCTGGAGCAGGCCCGAGTCGTTCTTACTTCTCCGTTGTTCGACCCCCGTTTGTTTTCGCTACTGTCGTCTATGGGGCGGTTTCGGTTGGCAGTTTTGGGTAATTGGGGTCAGCCGCTCTGGCTAAGTCCCAGCTGGACTTCCGACACCATCTCATACGATCTCTCCTGTGGATCCACTGGGCATTCCACATGGCTCAGCCTACGACCTCTCCCGTAGCCGCTGCCATTCCCTGCGTTTCGGAGTCTGCCTGCCTCGTTCACTCCTGGTCATCATGTTTCATGTCTGGCTCTATCTACTAACACTCGCGGTACATGTGTTAGGGCCTTCTTCTTCTCCTTTTGGGGGCTCCTTTTTATGCATAATGTTACTGTCTTTTTTGCTGTGTTGTCTGTGATTGGTTTTTCGCTTTTTTTTTTTTTGCCACTTCTAACTTGCATTATCCCTTAATACCATCAACTATACCTATCCGGTTTACAACTCCACATGTTGTACAGGTTTACCAATTCATACATAGCTTCATGTCCTCATACCAGATTATTACCATACTCAAGGCTTTCAGGTTCTCGGACAATTCAAATTTTACAGATTTCCCATCAGCACCCAATTATTTCAATCAATCTATCAGCTCTATTAGATGCCTGTCCTTACGAACCAGGCACCAACCTAGTAGTTAAATCCACTATATACCTGGTGTAACGGTTCCTTAGGCCCCGCATATTTACCACATCTACCACGCCCAACTTGCAGCATTGTCTCAGGAAGTCTCACCTATCCAACAAGGAGACTATTACTTACTTTCTCTACTCCACACCAAGTCTACCCAAGACAGTCATCAGGTTAACATACCTTACTTCCCCTCGCATAATTAAGAGTGCCGGTTAAAGTTCCAGGCACGTATTTACTCTCTCTTTGTAACCAAGCCTCACAACCACAGATATCACTACAGGGATCAATCCTCACAACTACGAAATACATGCTATTCTCTAGTTCTTTGATCTTGAGGCTAGGTTCAATCCGTCCAACTATTCTGGTCACCCCTTTTAGGATAGGGTGGCATCCATGGCTTTAATCTTCATATGTCTAGGTCAATGGAAGTTCTCAGCATATTCCCCATACGTACCACATTCCATACAAGATCTTCAACAGGCATTTACCAATTGACTATGTAATTAAGTCCTTTCTTATCAGTTGTTGATTGTTCTACGTTCTGGCATGTATCTATTTTTGCCCTTTTTTTATTACAGGCCTACCGCGTTGTCGGTCCCGGCACACCTCAACAGACTTCTCTCTTCCTTTAATATGCTATTTTTGTACACTCCCTATATGGCCTTATTTGCCCCTCACACAAATGCGAAGGCTTGGCCTGCTGTTGTGGGAGGAGCATGATACCCTATATAAACCCACTACTCACCTTCCTCCATCCCGTACGTGCTCTAGCGATTCGCATGTCCCCACCCTCCACTCCCTCTATCTATACCTTTCATTACACCTCATGGGTGGGCTCTCTTTTATTACAGGCCTACCGCGTCGTCGGTTCCGGCACACCTCAACCGACTTCTCTCTTCCTATAATATGCTACTTTTGTACACTCCCTATACGGCCTTATTTGCCTCTCACACAATTACGGTTTCTTGGCGTAGAATATGAAATTCCCATGTCAGTTCCTAGTTCAGGAAAGTCAACAAAACCAAATCAGGACGGTCCTGTTGGATCCAGAAAAGTTGCACAATATGTGATTACACAAAACATTTAGCTCTTTCTGTAGAAACAAGTACTGAATGAAAGGCCAACAACTTCTTACTATCTCCAGCTGCTTGTTCAGCTCCAAAAGCTTATTGTTCAAATCGTTTCTCTCACTAGTCAGCAGCGCATTGTCAGCCATCATTTTGTTTCTCAGTACACGATCTTGCTCAGACTGCAGATCCTTCTCCCGTATTTGCTGGAGGAGTAAACTCATTTCATTCCTGAACAGTGAACAGAAGCAAAGCATTAGTATGAATCAATAGTGCATTAAAGGGACACTATGGGCACCCACACCACTACAGCTCATTGAAGTGGTCTGGGTGCAGTGTCCCATGTCCCTTTACCCTACAAAGGTAATTATTGCATAGGGAGCTATAGTGCTGGAATTATAGTTTCCCTTTAAGTGTCATGTGAAATCACTTTATTTTTTTTTATGCAGCAATAGTAAATTATGTTTTATAAGAACTTAATTTGTTTTAGCGGTTTAGGTAATGCCAGCATGTATGTTATAAAGGGAAGAAAACTATTTATGTCTGTTATCTGTAATGATTATTTAATCATAAGGCAATTAGTTGTCTCATGTGATTTATTATAACAATAAAATTTACAAGTAAAGACAATAATAAAAAAGTGAATACAAAATTGATTACAGGATATCTTTACAATAATCCCCACAACACTCCTGAACACTGGAGAAGCTTCACTTCCTAAAGAATAATAGGAAGTACAGTCTACATTATCGTGAGTTAAAGAACTTTCTTACTCTAATAGGGTTATACACTAAAGTGAGGATTATCAGTAATTTAAAGTGCATTTCAAATGTAAGTTCTGTATAGCTGTAAATATAGATAATTTGGCTATTTTGGTTACAATTTTAAAGTCACTTGAATTCCTGACAATTCTCACATTAGTGAATAACCCTTTAAGACTCCTAAACCGTATCCAAACCAGAAATTGCATCATTACAAATATTCAGAAGAAATTTGGTGCAGCTGAATTGAAGTGACTGAAATTGCTTATAACAGTCTGTCCAGCAGAGGGCAGAATGGAAATGTGCTACCAGGAAATTCAGTAGATGGTGGAGCTGCTATCAGAGCAATGTTGCACCTGCAGCTAATGCTTGAGAAGCCAGGATAATGAATCTTACAATACCATTATAGCGAACACAGGGTAACATAGAGCGTTACCTACCTGAGATCAAGTGTGATCTCATTTTGCATAGTTTCTGTTCTTTTTAGTAGTTTTTGTTCCATTTCATCTTTGTCTGAATTCAACTTCAACAAACTCATTCTCTTCTTTGACAGCTCATTCTCCATTGACTTTTGTTGTTCTGACCTCTGTTTTATCTGGGGGGGTGGGAGGGAGTGCCAAGATCGGTATTTAACAATCATGAATAAGAACAAACAAGCCATAATTTTAATAATATTTATTCCATTTGGTTTACTCCGAAAGCATTTCAACCACAAATATCTGCTAGATGGGATCTTAATACTGATCTAATCTGTCTAGGATGTTGAGAGTGATCTAGTGAAACTGAGCTCTTGACACGTATCTACTCTAAATAGTATCTGCATCATTTCCTGATCTAATTGAGATCCTGTTACTGATTTTTTTATTGAGGTTAATAAAGAAAATGCATACATGGATCAGTAAGGCATTGATAATAAACAACTCTTAGGCATGGTAGCCAGCAATGCTTCTGGTAGAGCGTAACTCTTTTTACACTTTTTAATTATTATTTTTTTTCAAGTTGTTCAAACAAAGCTCAAGAAAAGGAGACAGAAACGGCATATCAACAGTAAACCAGCATGTCTGAGAGGAGTTAGGACAGTATAGTTCACTGTTCATCCTTTCTACGTTCCAGGATTATCCCATATTAAGGTGCTTACTCACATTCTGTTATCTCGTATTGTTATACACTTGGGTATAAGTTTGAGATGCTAGCTAGATCCCCTGCTCGTGGTTGAATATATCAGCATGGGCTAAGCGCATGTGTGATAATGTCAGGCCAGTGCATATACTGAGAACATATAGAGGCTGCTTATAGTGTTGTCTAGGGTTCGGGTTTTTGCCCAGTTCTAGCACAGGGGTTGATACTGAATTTTGATCCTCTTCTGGTCTAATTAGGGTTATGCATTCCTCAGAACATTTCAAATGGAAAAAAGAGTGATACTTTTACTTTAGGGGGGTGAGTCAAGAGATGGGGCTGTTCTAAGAAATTTTAGGTAAGTAAAGAATACATTTATGGAACAGAAATGTAATTAGTATGAGATCAATGTATCTTATATACACAGACTAACTTCTAAAAACATTTGGTTTAAAGATATTGTGATAGTTGATGTGATGTAATTGTAGATGAAAGGTATGGAAGACGTGCTTTGGCAAATACTACCTCTCACTTGTAAGGATTAAATTCCCATAGGATGATCCAGGCAAGTTATTGCAGTGATTAACAAAGGCTCTGCAGGTGAAGTCAGTTGCCAATTATGTGCCTAATTAACAATGTATGTAAGACCAGCCTGGGGCAGTTCCCTCCAGGGACGGACTGACAGTGGCCTGGGCCCCCGGCAGACTAATATATATGCTTGTATATAATATGGCGTATGTACTGTGTATTTTATTATATACAGTCAGGTCCATAAATATTGGGACATCGACACAATTCTAATCTTTTTGGCTCTATACACCAACACAATGGGTTTTAAATGAAATAGATGTGCTTTAACTGCAGGCTTTTAGCTTTAATTTGAGGGTATTTACATCCAAATCAGGTGAACGGTGTAGGAATTACAACAGTTTGTATATGTGCCTCCCACTTTTTAAGGGACCAAAAGTAATGGGACAGATTAACAGTCATAAATCAAACTTTCACTTTTTAATACATGGTTGCAAATCAGAAGCTGGGTTTCATCCCTGGTGATGCTCTGCCAGGCCTCTACTGCAACTGTCTTCAGTTCCTGCTTGTTTTTGGGGCATTTTCCCTTCAGTTTTGTCTTCATCAAGTGAAATGCATGCTCAATTGGATTCAGGTCAGGTGATTGACTTGGCCATTGCATAACATTTCACTTCTTTGCCTTAAAAAACTCTTTGGTTGCTTTTGCAGTATGCTTCGGGTCACTGTCCATCTGCACTGGGAAGTGCCGTCAAATGAGTTCTGAAGCATTTGGCTGAATATGAGCAGATAATATTGCCCGTTACACTTTAGAATTCATCCTGCTGCTTTTGTCAGCAGTAACATCATCAATAAATACAAGAGAACCAGTTCCATTGGCAGCCATACATGCCCACCCCATGACACTACCACCACCATGCTTCACTGATGAGGTGGTATGCTTTGGATCATGAGCACTTCCTTTCCTTCTCCATACATAGAAACATAGAAACATAGAATGTGACGGCAGATAAGAACCATTCGGCCCATCTAGTCTGCCCAATTTTCTAAATACTTTCATTAGTCCCTAGTCTTATCTTATAGTTAGGATAGCCTTATGCCTATCCCACGCATGCTTAAACTCCTTTACTGTGTTAACCTCTACCACTTCAGCTGGAAGGCTATTCCATGCATCCACTACCCTCTCAGTAAAGTAATACTTCCTGATATTATTTTTAAACCTTTGTCCCTCTAATTTAAGACTATGTCCTCTTGTTGTGGTAGTTTTTCTTCTTTTAAATATAGTCTCCTCCTTTACTGTGTTGATTCCCTTTATATATTTAAATGTTTCTATCATATCCCCCCTGTCTCGTCTTTCCTCCAAGCTATACATGTTAAGATCCTTTAACCTTTCCTGGTAAGTTTTATCCCGCAATCCATGAACCAGTTTAGTAGCCCTTCTCTGAACCCTCTCTAAGGTATCAATATCCTTCTGAAGATACGGTCTCCAGTACTGTGTACAATACTCCAAGTGAGGTCTCACCAGTGTTCTGTACAATGGCATGAGCACTTCCCTCTTTCTACTGCTAATACCTCTCCCTATACAACCAAGCATTCTGCTAGCATTTCCTGCTGCTCTATTACATTGTCTGCCTACCTTTAAGTCATCAGAAATAATCACCCCTAAATCCCTTTCCTCATATGTTGAGGTTAGGACTCTATCAAATATTCTGTACTCTGCCCTTGGGTTTTTACGTCCAAGATGCATTATCTTGCACTTATCCACATTAAATGTCAGTTGCCACAATTCTGACAATTTTTCTAGTTTACCTGAATCATTTGTCATTTGGCTTATCCCTCCTGGAACATCAACCCTGTTACATATCTTAGTATCATCTTCTCTTCCCATCACTCTGGTACAAGTTGATCTTGGTCTCATCTGTCCATAGGATGTTGTTCCAGAACTGTTCAGGCTTTTTTAGATGTTGTTTGGCAAACTCTAATATGGCTTTCCTGTTTTTGAGGCTTGCCAATGGTTTACATCTTGTGGTGAACCCTCTGTATTCACTCTGGTGAAGTCTTCTCTTGATTGTTGACTTTGACACACATACACCTACCTCCTGGAGAGTGTTCTTGATCTGGCCAACTGTTGTGAAGGGTGTTTTCTTCACCAGGGAAAGAATTCTTCAGTCATCCACCACAGTTGTTTTCCGTAGTCTTCCGGGTCTTTTGGTGTTGCTGGGCTCACCGGTGCGTTCTTTCTTTTTAAGGATGTTCCAAACAGTTGATTTGGCCACACCTAATGTTTTTGATATCTCTCTGAAGGGTTTGTTTTTCCAGCCTAAGGATGGCTTGCTTCACTGATAGTGACAGCTCTTTGGATCTCCTATTGAGAGTTGACAGCAACAGATTCCAAATGCAAATAGCACACTTGAAATGAACTCTGGACCTTTTATCTGCCCCTTGTAAATGGGATAATGAGGGAATAACACACACCTGTAAATGGGATAATGAGGGAATAACACACAGCTGAGCAGCCAATTGTCCCATTACTTTTGGTCCCTTGAAAAGTGGGAGGGACATATACAAACTGTTGTAATTCCTACACCGTTCACCTAATTTGGATGTAAATACCCTCACATTAAAGCTGAAAGTCTGCAGTTAAAGCACATTTTGTTGATTTCATTTCAAATCCATTGTGGTGGTGTATAGAGTCAAAAAGATTAGAATTGTGTTGATGTCCCAATATTTATGGACCTGACTGTATGTTCATGTAAAGTGAATGTATGTTTTTGTGTGTATATTCACTGTGAGCCTCGGTTTAAGTGAATATATGTATGTTTGTGTCTAGTGTCACGATGTGTGGATTCAGAGTAATATAAATATATATATTTTTTTTTAAATAGGGTAGTATTTAAGTGTGTATGTGAATCACGGCAATGTGTTTATATGAGGAATGCAGGCATCCAAATTTGGGGTCTTGAAGTACTAACGTTGTGATAAAAGTTATGAGCCACCTTAAAGCGACAGTATAGTCACCAGAACAACTTCAGATTAATGCAGTTGTTTTGGTATGTATAGCCAGTCCTTACAGGCATTTTAATTTAAACACTGCCGTTTACATTGCAGCACAGGGAAACCTCCAGTGGCAGCCACTCAGACGGCCACTAGAGGTGCTTCCTGGGTCAGTGATAGACAATGTGCAGCACTGATGTTCAGTGTCTCATTGCTCTGCATGGAAGCGCTAAACTTTCCCCACAGAGATGCATTGATTCAATACATCTCTATAAGGAGATGCTGATTGGCGCAATGCAGCGTTTTGCCATGTGTGTCAATTAACTTCCCAGTGCTTCATAAGGGAGAGCATTGGAATGGCTGAGATGATCAATTCTAATGATCTCAGTCAAGGGGCCAGAGCATGGGCTGAGCCAGCGCCGGTGGACCCGTGTGGCGCTAAAATAAAGGTAAGTTGATTACCTTTTTAGGAGGGGCAAGGGGATGCCGGTAACCTAAATGGTGTTTTTACACTATAGGGTCAGGAATACACATTCGTATTCCTGTTCCTATAGTGTTTCTTTAAATGCATTTTTTTTTTTGGGAATTCATGCTAGTATGTCCATGACATCAGTGTGTGTATGAAGGGACGTATTTATATTGAGGGTCTGCATGCAAGGCCATATTTGTAGTTTGTGTGTGTGGAACATCCGTGTGTTATTATAAGTTAGTTGCTATAAGTGCTGTAGTGGGGAGGGGGTAATAGAAGTTGAGGGTGCAGGGAAGGAATAGAGGCTGAAGTGGGTAACAAGGGTTGTAGAATATGTAGGGGTAATAAGGGTTGTAGTGGGTGATAAGGGCTGTAGCATGTGTAAGGGGTAATAGGGGTTGTAGTGGGTAATAGGGGTTATAGGATGTGTAGGGGTAATAGAAGCTGTAGTGGGTAAGAGGAGTTGTAGTATATGTAGGGGGTAATAGGGGTTATAGGATGTGTAGGGGTAATAGAAGCTGTAGTGGGTAAGAGGAGTTGTAGTATATGTAGGGGGTAACAGGGGTTGTAGTGGGTAATAGGGGTTGCAGGATGTGTAAGGGGTGATAGGGGTTGTAGTGTGTGTATGGGGTGATAGGGATTGTAGGATGTGTTGGGGCTTGGTGAATAAAGGGGAATGGATGGATAGGGGCCGTTTGGAAAGCTTATTTACCTATTTTTAATTTTTTTTAAAGTTAAATAATGTATCCCCCCCTCCCTAAACCGTACCTTTGTCCAGGAAGGGGGTAAGCCTTACCCACAGTGGTGCAGAGTGTCCAACCTCCATCTCGCCAAGCAAGCGTCCAGAAGAGCTCCCTCCCTGGGCGGTCATGAAATTGCGGACAGGCTGCCTGAAACACTGATAATGCAGCTCTGCACGGGGCTGCTCTGCTCAGTTACAGGCAGCCTGCATGGAGTGCTCAACTCAGGGCAGAGGCTCTGTTCCTGGAGCCTCTGCTGATTTTTTTCTTCCAGCCAAAAGCCGCAGACTGCACTAGACAGGCACAGTGAGAGGCAGCGTAGTGGGTCTTTGATAAGGCCCCTGGGCTGTCTTCCAGTGTGATACAAAGGTCTGCTGACTGTGAGCATAGCATGGCCGTCCATGGGGGGAAGCTTCTCTAACAGCAGGGGCCCGCAGAAGTTCGTGCAGGCCCCTTACTGAGTGCAGGCTGGCTGGGAAGCTTGCTGAACTCCACAGCTGCCATTACATTTGCACCACAGGCGGGCCCCCCAGAGCCTCGGTCCATGACCGATATGCCAGAGTGCTCATTTTGCCCCTGATTCCCTCAGTCTGATATTCCAGCCGAGGGAGCTGGACTGCTACAAACTAATATTTGTGTGGTGCTTTGTTTTTTCATGCATTTTTGTATTTGTTGGGAAGTAGGAAAGCCACCCAAATATAGATAGAGAATTCTATGTATAGTTGGTGCTGAAGAAAGAGCAAGAATTTATTTTGTTTTATTTCCACTTGCTGATGTGTTTAAGAAAATAGACCGCTTAAAACCAGAGTTGGAGTTTGTCCTACGTTGTAGCTTACCTAAGAAGACTGTGGTTATTTAAAGATACCACACAAACAAACCTTTGACTACAAAGGACATCTGTCACAATACATTACTGGGAGTATTATTGCTATGGAGCTCTGTTATACACAACAAAATTATGGAGCTCCTGGAAAAGAGGGACATTAGGACAGGAAGGAACGACAGAGGGATTTGAGCCCGAAATATATACAGTCCCTACTAAATAGGGACACATGGGATGTATGGTCTTGTTACTGATCAAGTCTAACAAGTCTAATCATGTCCAACTAGCCTCTTGATATTGATCAAGTCTAATTAAAGTCTTGATACTAGTAATAGATAACATATTAGTAATGATATTGACTAGCATTTATTTTACAAATCACTCCTAATTATGTTGCTACTAATAATGACTAAATTGGATATTGCTAGTGATCTTGTCTAAGGTCTTATTACTAAACTTGTCTAACTTCTTGGTACTAATCTTGTATATCTAGGATCTAACTATTGATGTTGTAAAATATATTTTCTTGTTGATCTTGTCATGATTGGATTTTTCACTGGTTATGTCTAACTAGGCCCTTGCTATCTTGGAAGCATGCATAATCTACCTTTAAATTGCACAGTGTTAATGACTGCTTGACTGCTTTCTGAATAAACATAGTAGTAATAAGGTACCTGTGACTGGAGAGAGCGTACTCTCTGCTCACTGTTTGCTAGGTTTGACAGCTCTATCTCCAGTTCTTGTTTGGTTTTCAGTATATCCATCTCTTTCTGAGATATTTGAAGGTCTGTTAGCTCCTTCATTTTCTTAAACTGAACAACGTCATTCACCAGCTCCTGTTTGTCTTTGGAATGAGCCACTGCCAAAGAAGAATGTACTCACTTTACACAAACTTGGATGGTATGAAATTGTAATTGAAAAGGTACAGTTGCTAGTAGGAGTCAGAGATCAGGGGAAGTTGGTATTGGGTGTGAGACAAAAGTGTGAATTAGGAAGAAATAAGAGGAAGGAATGAATTAATGGATAGAGGAAGCGAGTATAAGAGTCAGACTGGATATTTTAGTGGACGGCCTTTAAGAGCTGAAGACCAGATACTGTGAGAGGACTGTGGAGACAAATGGGGGACTGTGTACAAAGCTGTGTTATAACTCCATCTCCTATCTAGTATTGTCTGTAGATGGAGTTATATTTAACAGTGTCAACAACACTATAATAGTAATGTGTCAAGAGTACCCTGCACAACCAAGGAGGCCATTTTTATTCTCCCCAGAGACATGAACTTTATGCAGTGATTAACAGAGGATTTAAAGCCCACTGGCTACAATTCCGTGTAAGCAGTGTTAAATCCCTACTCACACCAGGAAACCCAGTATCGATCCCCTTCTGTCAGCTGGGGAAATTTTACATGGCCCAGACTGACAGATGCACTGTATGCAGAGTTCAAATTGAGCGCTGCTTACAGCCATTTAAATAGGCATTTAGAAATGTGGTGTGGGCAGGGTAAAATATCTGCTCACACCAGGGAGACCCAGTATTCATCAATACCTTGGGTCACACCTATTGGGCCAGACTGACTGATGAGCTGTATGCAGTCCTCAAGGTGAGCGCTGTATATAGGCCTTTAAATTAATTGAGAACACTGTAGCTGAGAGTATCATGCTAACCCGCTATGATACTTACATTTCAGCTGATGAAGGGAGCTGCTCAGGGTGTCTCTGCATGCTCCCAAGTCTCACTCCATGCCCCAATGCCATTCTGACTTGTGATGGGCTTTGTCAGTTGTTGAGCACTGATCACAATGCATTGGCCAAACCAATTTTAGTATTAGAAATGGGAAGATCCTGTCATACTGAAAATATCCAGATGACCACAAAATTACACTCTCTGGTTTAACTTAGAATCCCTTTGCTAATACCAGTACTGATATTAGCAAAGGGAAACTCTTGGAATTAGGATTAAATTAAGGATTAAGGTCATGGATTAAGATTAGATTTAGAAGATGTACTAGGTTTATGTTTAAGATTAGGTTTAGAATTATTGTAGTACTCTGATTTTGTTTTAGATTGGGGTTCAGACTAGGATTAGGGTCAGCAAGGGAATCCCTATGATGGAAATAGGAAAGGAATTCCTCTGTTTATATCAGCTGAGGGAATCCTCCTAACACTATTTCTAGGGTTAGGATTAAAGTTATAATTAGGGGTAGGTAGAGGATTAGAGTATGCATTAGGATGAGGTTTAACAAGATTTAGGGTCAGATTTTAATATTCACATTTTATCATTTTAAAATGCTGCAAAATATGTTTGCGCAATTTAAATGATTTCTAATTAAGCTTGGTAAAGTCAAATCTTTAAATAAGAACACAAATTGCCATTTCCCATGTCAAAATTGGGAGGCACTTTGTAGTACAGTGAACAACAGCTAGCAGTACTGACAATCACATAATGAGAAGAAATGTTTTGGAAATAAATAATTATTTTCTATGCAAAAGCCTACAAAAAGTCTCACATATTATTCATATAGTTACCAGATGAAGACTAACCTTCTGTACTTTGGATTTCTCCTCTCAGGTAATCCTGGTCTCTCTGCAAAATCAGCAAGTTTGCATCTCTTCGTTTCACCTCCAGTTTGAGACCATTACACTGAGTTCGAAGGTCCTGGATGAAAAAAAAAAAGAAACAACAAAATGCATTCCCAGTATGGTTCTCTATTACTCTCCTCTCTTGGCCATAATTATTATAAAAATTATAAAGCTATCAGTGGTAATTAAATGTAATTGTAAAGTTAATGTTTTAATAAATGCTTAAGTGAATTATTATTATTTTTTTGTGTGTGTTTTTTTTTTTTTGCTTTTATCTTATCCACATTTTTATTTAGGACATACCTGCAGCTTCTTCAATATGTGCTCTGCTTCTGAGTTGAGTCTAGGTTGGAGGTTGGTAGCCTTTTTAGTTTGATCCCGAGTAAATATTCATTGTTAAAGAAAATCTCAAATGTAGTTAATTTCCTCATGGTGTTCGTTGCATATATAGACATATTTTATATATTCTATAGCTATACCTCTATAAGTGAGCTCATATATATAAAAAGTTACTATTATCTATTTTGTACAAATATCATTGGGTTAATATAGGCAAGGTCCATTAAGAACCAAAGGATAAATGGTACATTTGCAATGATTATACAAAAGTAAATATTCAATCTACAATTTCTTATTTTTTTTTCTTTTATTTATGATTCAATATTGAACATGAACCATGAGAACTGACTCTAACATCCAAATATCCAACGATCCGGCCCAGAAATTGAGTATTACAATATGAAGAAAAGCATTCTGGACGCAGTAGTTCCCACCATAAACCGTAAGTGACGTATCGCGAGTGAGTTCGCACGTCACTTTCGGCTACACGAACAAGCAAAGATCATCACAGGTACACCGCCTCGAACCTCACACCAGCTGTGAGTAATCCATGGAGATTGGACCACTGAGGAAAAAGGGTGGGACAGGCGGATATTCAAAACTGGAACCGGACAACTAGTGAACTTACTGATTGAAAAAGCCACTATTCCAGGCAAAACTGCATCTTGGTAGACAAGAGAACAGTACTTTTATTTTGCCCATGTTTATTTATTTTTTTGTTAATACATGGTTTTTAAAATAATCTTTGATGGTAATAAAAGGTAATATATAATTCACTCCCTCCTGTCTTTTCATCTGATACCTGAGTTCCAGATAGGGGAGTGTCACCCAGTGGCATACACATGACCCATGGGGCCCCGGTGCGAAAATTGATCCGTGGGCCCCCCCCCCCCGCACGCGGGCTGTGCCGCAACACATGGCGGTGGGCACCTGGTCGCAGGGGTTACAGGGCTGCAACCCCTGCGACCGCGGTATGTACGCCAGTGCATGCAGATGCACACACACTTAAAGGACCACTACAGACACCCAGATCACATCAGCTCAATGAAGTTGTCTGGGTGTCAGGTCCCTCTAGTTTTAACCCTGCAGCTGAAAACATAGCAGTTTCAGAGAAACTGCTATGTTTCACTGAGGGTTAATCCAGCCTCTAGTGACCGTCTCACTGACAGCCGCTAAAGGAGCACACTGAATGTCCATAGGAAAGCATTGAGTAATGCTTTCCTATGGGCGGTTTGAATGCGTGCACGGTCGCATTCGGAGCTGAGAGGTTGAGGGATCCCCAGCGCCAAGGGAGTCCGGCGCTGGAGAAAGGTAAGTGCTGAAGACACACACACACACTTACAGACGCATACACACTAGCTAACAGACACACACATTTACTGACAGAGACACACTCAGCGACAGACATACATTCACACTCACAAAACATACACTCTCATTGACAAACACAAACTCACTAACAGACATCAAACAGACTCACTAACACACACACACTCAGTAAGACACACACAGTAACACACTCACTGATACTCACTAGCAGACACACACACTAACACTCACACGTTTTTTTTTTTTAATTTAATCCCCCCAGCCTCCTTACCTTTTGGAGTGCTGGGGGGATTCCCTGGGGTCCAGTGGTGCTGCTGGGCTGGCGGGCTGTCTAGCCGGCGCGCAAGGGAGCACTCAGTGCTTCCTCTTCAGCTCCCTCGCGCGCCGCGTAGGGATGCCGGCGCCGGAAGATGACGTCATCTTCTGGCTCCGGTATCAGTGCGGTGCGCGAGGGAGCTGAAGAGGAAGCACTGAGTGCTCCCTCGCGTGCCCGCCTGACTGGCCGGCCACCCGCCTTCCGGGTGTCAGCAGGGCCAGCCTCGGGGGGCCCTGGGGTGGTCGGCTCCTGGGCCCCCCAAGGGAAGAGGCTGGCTCAGTGGGTACACACCGGGTCGCAGGTGCGGCCGGGCACCCTGGTGGGCCAGGCCCGGTCGCAGCCGCGACCCCTGCGACCCTGGTATGTACGCCACTGGTGTCACCCCCAAAGTGACACAGGTCTTTCTAACTTGAAGCCAGTTCCCAAAAGGCTCCAAACAAGGTGAGCTACACCTTGAAGGCTTTTGTCTCTTTATCGTCTCTCATTTACATGTATCTTATTGGGAGCTGCTGACCGAGTATTCCCTGAAGAAAGGTTGTTGCTTGCCACCTTAAAGGCACAGGAGGCCACAGAGCCTATATCCCGAAAAGGCTCTACACATTGTGAGTTAATGTTCACTCACTAAGTTTGTGTTTTAAAAATTCACTAATATACTACACCATAAGTCTTTTTCTCTTTTGTATTTATTTACATCTATCCACAATTGTTACAATTTTGAGGGTAAGTCCCTACATTCACATTTAAGCTCTTCATTCGCACTTTATATATTAGGTAGGGGTGTATCACCTAAATATAAGGTGCATATTTGATATACATTTCATGGTTTGGTGGGTTATTTGGAGTACCCACAGAGTGTTTTCAGCTGCTATAACAAAATAACATCACTACAATAAGAAATAAGCGCCACAAATTTTCACACTTAAGTTTCAATTTTTCAATAATACCCAGAGGGCTCAGAGACATGGCTTGAAGCTGTGCTTCCAAGCCGACTAATTAGTGTACAACAGGGTTTTCGAAGGTAGGTGAGGGAGGCAGGACTGCAGGCACTATGGCACGGTCAATAAAATGAAGTTGCAAAAGTGCCTACAGTGTCCTTTTAACCTTTTTATGTAGCTTGTAGTATGATTAAAGGAACACGATAGGGTCAGGAACACAACATCTATACTTGACCCTATTGTGTTAAAACCACAATTTAGGTGGCTTGCCCCCTTGCCCCCCTCCTTACAAATCATTAAAAGATACCTTATTTCCAGGTTCCGTCCACCTCTTTGGTTGACATCATCAGAATTCATGATCTCAGCTAATCCAATGCTTCCCCACAGAGAAAGCATTGTATTAGCTGAGATCGCCAAGGAGGCGGGGCGGGGTTAAATGCCACCATGGCCAATCAGCATCTCTTCATAGAGATGCATTGAACCAATGCATCTCTATAAGGTAAGTTCAGCGTCTCCATGCAGAGCATGGAGACAATGAACGGCAGTGCTGCACAGCGTGCAGCAATTTTCCTGGAAGCACCTCGCGTGACCATCTGAGGAGCGCCACTAGAGGTGTCCCTAGGCTTTAATGTAAATTTACTGAGTATAGCAGGGACTGACTATACTCACCAGAACAAATACATTAAGCTATAATTGTTCTGGTGACTATAGTGTCCCTTTAAAGTTAAAAGGAAAGACATCAACTACTTTTAGAACTACAAGCCTTATGTCCAGAAACACTATGGATTGAAACAAATAGCTCAATTTACAGAAGCCTGCAGGATTTATTTGTTGGTGTCACATCAAAGTTACAACAAACTTGCTAGTTAGTAACTTTTCAGTTATGCCAATTGGTAAAGGGTTCTGTCCAGAAAGACCACTCCACATTACACCACAACACCATTTGGTATTCTGTATGAAATGAAGGCAGATGCTTCAGGTAGCACAGCCTGCTTTTCTATCATGTGGTTATTACTATACAATTAGGGGAAAAGACAGTACAATATACACAAGCCAATACAAAACGTAAACAGGGCCTTGCCTGTGAACAGGCATCTAGCCATTGAAGCTCTTTTATACCAAGTACTTAGCAAGATAGCCCATAGGCTTGCAATCTAAAGGATTGTGCTCATTATTCATGTTTTGTGTATCGAATATTGGGCACCAGGTAATGACACTGAATCTTAAAAAATACAAAACAAATTACAATAATCTGTAAATACCCTGCTGGAAGTGATGCAAATAGAGGGAGAAGATGGGGCGGCAGAAACACTTTGGCAAGCCGGCCAGGCCCTTGTAACATCAGCTGGCAGGGAGGAAGTGACAGCATGCTTCACAAAGCGCCGCGCTGTTGAAATAACTGGAGGAGGTTGGAGTCAGTTGCAGCGCACACAGCAGTACGCATGGAGGCAGAGGAGAGGCTGGAGGGAGCTGCTGCTGCTGCATGCTCATTTTCATCAGTTTCAGCCAGGGCCAGAACCCCAAGAAAGCCACCCTCTTGGACACAAAGGTAAGCTAACAGTATGGTGGCTGAAAATGTATAATGTATGATATGTGAGTATGTCAGTGTGTGTATCTGTGTATGAGTCAGTATGTGTATCTGAGTGTGTGTGCCAGTGTATTTATCATAGTGTGTGTATCTGTATGCCAGTTTGTGTATCTGTGTATCAGTATGTATCTGAGTGTGTGTATTTGCCAGTGCATGTATCTGTGTGTCAAGGTTCATACATGTTTGGTGGCGGTGCGTGTGTGTGTGTGCCAGTGGAAGTATCTGGTGAAGCCGCCTCCCTATAATGCATTTTTGCATGTTGAGATTTCTGTATAGAATACAAATTGTACATTTCCCTTTTTGCCACATATATTAACATATGAAACTGTAGAAAATGCTGCATCTGGATATAATATCTTTTCTAAATAACAGGAAAAGGATATAGAAATCTTGCTTCCAGTTCCAGGAAGTAGATCTGTTGTTGGAGGTTCTTAATGTACTCTGCCTCCACCGTGGATACAATAGACTCCATCATCTGTTCTTAAAGAAAACAAAGATTATAAACAGCATCCTGTTTGCGCAGCATCTTTATTAGACAAGTCCATTGGGTCATAAATCATAGGTTGACATTACAGAAACCTTTTTGCATCCTCTATAATCAGTGTATACAGTCCACAGAGTCCCTATACATTTTATATGTTCCTGGGCCATTGATCACTATAGGCTGCTGAAGACTATATATTGTCTTGCTAAGAATTATGGGAAACTGCCACAACGTGTAGTGTAATCCAACAAAGTTTAGCCAGTTTTGCTTTAAATAATAGCCTAGGTCCTCAAATAAGGTATTCCCTCGTACTGATCTATTTTAAAACCTGCAATTCTACATTAACACTCATATAGCTCAAATGTATTTCATTGATCTAGGTTTCAAAGGACTAAAGTAAATAACTTTATAGAATAAAAGATATCCCAGTATAATCATAACATTAACAGTATCCTTAAAGGGATACTGTAGGCACCCAGACCACTTCAGCTAATTTAAATAGTCTGGGTGCTGTGACCCTTTTGCACTTAGTGCTGCAATGTAAAACATTGCAGTTCCAAAGAACTGCAATGTTTACATTGCAGCTCAAAGTCTGCCCTCAGACAGCCACGAGAGGGCTTCTGGAATTCAAACAGACTTTTGGTCCGTTATCTGACACTGGACGTCCTCACGGACCTCCAGCGTCAGATTTTCCCCATAGTAAAGCATTGAATAATGCTTTCCTGTGGGGAGATGTAATGCGCGTGCGGCCATTGCCGTGCATGCGCATTAGGTCTCCCCCACCAGCTGACGTCGGCAGGAGAGGCGTGTGAGTGGAACCTGACCCAGCTTCAAGGGACATTGGTACTGGATTCAGGTAAGTGGGTGAAGGGGAGCCCATAGTGCCAGGAAAACGGGTTTGTTTTCCTGGCACTATAGGATCCCTTTAATATGGCACCACCGTAAATTTAACAAACAATATGATGTGTTTATTTTGCCTGCAGTGAATGATTACCTGCCAATCGATGATGAGTCAGAGCGCTATCTGGGGTACCCTGTGGCTGTGCACTTTGCAAATTGCAATAGAAAAAAAAAAAAGGACTTTGCAAAATGTAAGCAACAATAGCTGATGTGTACAAATCTACAACTTAGCTTAAAGGGACACTATAGTCACCTGAACAACTTTAGCTTAATGAAGCAGTGTTGGTGTATAGAACATGCCCCTGCAGCCTCACTGCTCAATCCTCTGCCATTTAGGAGTTAAATCCCTTTGTTTATGAACCCTAGTCACACCTCCCTGCATGTGACTTGCACAGCCTTCCATAAACACTTCCTGCAAAGAGAGCCCTATTTAGGCTTTCTTTATTGCAAGTTCTGTTTAATTCAGATTTTCTTATCCCCTGCTATCTTAATAACTTGCTAGACCCTGCAAGAGCCTCCTGTATGTGATTAAAGTTCAATTTAGAGATTGAGCTACAATTATTTAAGATAAATTACATCTGTTTGAAAGTGAAACCAGTTTTTTTTTTCATGCAGGCTCTGTCAATCATAGCCAGGGGAGGTGTGGCTAGGGCTGCATAAACAGAAACAAAGTGATTTAACTCCTAAAAGACAGTGAATTGAGCAGTGAAATTGAAGGGGAATGATCTATACACTAAAACTGCTTTATTTAGCTAAAGTAATTTAGGTGACTATAGTGTTCCTTTAAATACACAGCGTGGATGTTTTAGTCAAACTTTTACAATTTGGTTTTCAGTTTACTGCTTAATGAATAAACGAGTATTTGCAACAAAGTATCTTATTATATTAGTTTATTACATTAGGGTAAATTGGGGTCATATACACATTTTTTTTTTTTTGCATTTGCTGTCAAGTTTTGCACCAGTTTGGTGTGCATGCACCATATTCATATGTATAAAAATTAAAATAAAATAAAATCTCCACCCTTTGTACACTGGTGATTCCCCCCTCCCCCCCTTTTCTGTAATGTGCCTGAATAATTCGTACTTCCACCACTATTCCTCTTTCTAAATATATTCATTGACAATTTTATGTTTTCTTTATTTAATTTGTTAAAGAAAAAGGAAGATTGTGAAAGCTACTTATCTGTCAAAGAAAACCTGCCACTATCAGTTGTAATAAAAATTGTGAAAGAATTATGCACCTCTTTATTTAAATAGAAGTGACAAATTTGTGAAACAAAAAAACTAAAATGGAATAGGAAAAAGAATAATAAAAGATGTGAATTAAGGAATAACTAGGCCACCTAATATATTAATAATAATAATAATATTTCACTAAGCTGCTACAGAACTACAGTTTCATCACAAACATAAAGTGCTCAAAGATGCTTAAGAAGCATGTTTGCAAAAACAGTGATTTGTGGTGAGATTACATCAATTAAATTTCCAATCCGGGTCTCACATTTGCATAAAGTTGACAACTAACCCCAGCTCATTGTTTAGTGAATACAACAAAATGCACATTAATCCTTATATATAATATAATATATACATGAGACTAATGCTCTTATTATACACCCAACAAATCACAAGCAGCCTGTAAAATTCAAAGCAGGAGACAGACCGAAAACACAGCCATTTACCACAATCATAATCAATATTCAGACACAGATTCTCAGTATGTGTCATTTATCTGCAGTATGTATAGGCCACTGCACTGAGACTGTAATAAGGATTGTTAGTGCTTGTGTGTGATACAGCTGCAATTTATGTTACCTCATCACATTCTGACAGCTTTAGCAATGGAATACATGTATTTATTATACCGACAGACAGCAGATGTACAGACTGTACCTCTCCCCTGCTCCTGTTGATGGTTACTAACCTGAAGGGTGACACTGTTTGGTTGTCCCTGGTAGCAGTCGCTTCCTGTGTGAGGTAAGCCTGTATTGCATTAGAAACCTCTTCAGCCATGATACATTATGGCATTGCCCTTGCATTTTAATATGTCTAAATAAGACATAATGGGAATCTAGAAAATAAAAATGTATTATTTGAGCTTCTGTTCTTGCATTGGTCACTACTTGGAACATTAGAAATTTAAGACATTTTGGAATCAAGCATAAATACAGTCGACATCTTTCATATAATCAGCTATATAAAAGTTATCAAGCTGAATTTAAGACCTAAAAATGTACCAAAAGTACCAAAAGACTGTAACGTCTGTAACTGTAAATGTACCAAAAGACTGTAACGTGCTGAGACAAAAACAGTTGTTGTTTTTTAACCTTCATTCCAATAATTTTTTTTTTCGTTTTTTAAAATTCTTTTTTAAATTTTAGTAGTGTGGAAAAATACAGACAGTTGCATAAATGACAATAACACAAGGAAATATGACATTATTTACAATAAAAGAGCAAATAACATGTCACAAAAGCTGCACCATTTTATATTAACCCCTTAGTGACCTGACCGTTTTTCAGTTTTCTTACCGTTTGGGACCAGGGCTGTTTTGACCTGTTTTTACATTTCTGCAGTGTTTGTGTTTAGCTGTAATTTTCCTCTTTTACTGTAACCACACATATTATAAACCGCTTTTCTCGCCATTAAATGTTCTTTCTAAAAATACCATTATTTTCATCATATCATATAATTTACTGTAAAATATATATTATAAAATACACATTTTTTCTAACTTTGACCCCCAAAATCTGTTACACATCTACAACCGCCAAAACACACCCGTACTAAATAGTTTCTAAATTTTGAATTTAGAAATACCCAATGTTAACATGTTCTTAGCTTTTTTTGGAAAGTTATAGGGCACTAAGTACAAGTAACAAACATTTTTTTTTCAAAATTAACGAATCTGTCAGAAATCACTGAATAACCCTTTACATGTATATGTATATATATATATATATATATATATATATATATATATATATATATATATATATATATATATATATATATATATATATATATATATATATTTATATATATATATATATTTTTTTTTTGTTTGTTTGTTTATTTATTTTTTTAATGGGTCAGTATTTTTTATTTAATTTATTTTATTCTGGTCTTCCCCAGAAGTATTCATTGTCAACTTTACCAATGTACAGAGGTGCTTGCATCTATAAAAAATGCATAAAAGGCAAGTCCTGTACATTTAAAACTAATTTCTGAACTTGTCTCCATGTTCACATTTTTTCGTCATAATAATAATAAAATAATACCTGGGAAAAAAAGAGAAATCTCTTCTTAGTAAAACACTATATATTTATTTCAGAACACAACTTTACTAACGCTATAATACCAAAGCTTGCTCATGGGATTTTATGACTGGTTTAGTCCTTATTAATCCCTCTTGGGTCGTGTATTGAATGAGCTATTTGGTTTCAAAGCCTACCAACTGAGTTGCATGGGAACCATACTTCTTACTCAGCTGGTTTCAATATATAATAACTCATTCATTCTTGTTCATTGGTTTTAGATGCAAATATTGCGACCGATCTTTCAGCATCTCCTCAAATCTGCAGAGACACGTCCGAAACATTCACAACAAAGAAAAACCATTCAAATGTCACTTGTGTGACAGGTGTTTTGGTCAACAAACTAACTTGGACAGGCATTTAAAAAAACATGAGAATGGCAACATATCGGGTAAGATATTAGAGTAAAATTCTTATCAGTCTGAATGTCATTAGAGAAGATTAATGTTGTGCGACCCTGTATGGTATTGTAAATTAATTTTGAATAGTTTTGTTACGACTCGTACTGGTTTTTCTGTTCTAAAATCAAGCCTGCTAGTAGAATACTAACTCTCTAGTGATTGGCAGCGGCATTGCATTTCCATAAATACTGTGGTGTGTTGTTTTTTTTTTTTTGTTTTGTTTTTTTTAAATTTATTTATTTATTTATTTATTTTTAAAGAAGACAACCTAAGGTATTACACTTGGGATATTTTGACTCTTTTTATGCAACCATTTTACCACCAATCGATGCCAAATTTAAAAAAATTGGTGATTTTTTTTTACATATGTAGCAATTTAAGAATACATGTGTAAGAATATTAAATAGTTAACTTGTTTATATGTATTTTATGCTTTTATAAGGTTTATAACATGATTATTGCTGACTGAAGGAATATTGAATACTTAAAGTCAATATGCTGACTGTGACAGACTAAGGTATTTCTTCTGTAGGATGTAAGACAATGCTAAATTTCAGGATGTCTTGCCCATTCCGATTTTAAGGATATTCTTTTCCAGACGTATGCAAAAGCTTATCTTTCCATTGTCAGAATAACGTAATACAAGGAAGTAATAAATCTTATAGTCTGTACTGTATTTGCATATACCATGGCTAATGTAAGCAAACTATGTATAAAAGCCAGCTCTGGAATACACTCATTTGAGAGTCTTGTAAAGCTGTTGTCCGTGTGTTATTGCTTACAAATGATTCTCCATCAACATTGATTATGGTGACCGAGGGATCGAGAACCGAGGGGATTAGAGTCCATTACAACATTAACCCTTTCAGCTTGGTGTCTAGAAGTGGGATAGAAGTTGGATCAGCAAAACCATTTGCGGTGAGTAGCCTTTTTGTGTCTTATTTGACGCTGATTGTCTATGACCCCCCTTTGGTTCAGTAAGTCTGTATCCAGTAGATAGGAAAGGTGTAAGGACTCTAGTTATATTGAGACTATAAGAGGTCTCCGGTTTATTAGACATTTGGTCTAAATATATAGGGTTTTGGTAACCCAGGTTAGTATCTAAGATAGATACAGGTTTTTGAGACCATAAGAGGTCTCCGGTTTATTATAGGGTTTTGGTAACCCAGGTTAGTATCTAAGATAGATACAGGGTATCTCAGGTAGATACAGGTTTTTGAGACCATAAGAGGTCTCCGGTTTATTAAGTCTATAGGTGTTCTGAGCAGCATGGTTTGTAGATCTATAAGTATAACCCAAACTTCTCTTTCTCCCGGTCACCTTTGTTTGTCTTAAGTGTTTTTTGTGGGTGATTGTTTGTCTATATTGGGGACACACTTTGGTAAGTTAGTAGTGTCCCCACTCTGAATCAGCAGTATGGGAAATGTGAGTTCAGGTCCTGAGTGACCAATGTGTGTATGTATATATGTGTATATGTATGTATATATGTGTGTGTATATGTATATGTGTATATATAAGATAGCAGTACTTTTAAACAAATGGAGGTTTTAAAAATACATAAGGATTAAGGAGAGAACGCAGGTAACTTGTTTTTACCATATATTGGGGCTGATGTGTACTGTAGTCCTTGCTGCTGCCCAGTAGTGATGGGAGTGAGCGCAGGACTTATCTTTCTGCAAGATAGCAGTACTGTATATTAGAAAAGAAATGACTCACAGGTTGTACCTGATAGACCTACTTAAATCTTTTTGCTTTATTCTTTCTGTCGCATAGAAGTATAAGTTTATTACTCTGTTTTATTGTAAGTTATTTCACATGGGAACTGTGTGCCTGGAATGATTGTTGCTTTAAAAATACTATAAGCCCACTACACTTATTATGAGAGTGGGATAAGTGTAAATGTGTTGCATTGTTTGCATGATGAGCTCAGTATATTTTATAACTGAGACAAAAAGTCACATCATTAGTATTTGAAAGTTAATTCCCCATATGGGATTAATTGTATAGAAACACCAATCAGCACATCTTCCCTGCCCTGTGTGTTTGTTGCAAAGGATCCATACTAAATATGATTTATGTTTGAAAATAACAGAGCAACATTTACATTTTCAGCGGTCCAACACATGCTTTATTTTGCGCTGTAAATTAACCTTTTTATTGCAACAGGTTCCTTTTAAATGATCCAGTGTAATAACTACTGCTTGTGTCTTCTATGTCTCACATTATGTGATATTTTAAATTGTGGTATATAGCCTGAATCAGACATCATGGACAAAGGTTTTTACCTGTGTTACTAAGGGCTCTTGGAGACTGACCGGTCTAAAGGTTTGCCATGCCTTTAAAACATGGTATAGTATAAATTTTTTTAAGTCTCTGAGAGTTCTGAAAGATTCAGGTGAAACCATGTCTGTTTAATCTGGTCCAGATGTTTGTTCAATTTCTGTAAGATTTAAGTTGATGCAGCATCATCTCAGATTAGTTAATGGTAGTTTTATACAAATAGTTGAGTTATGAGCGCGCTATATAAATGGATCCTTTCTTTAAATACAATACTATAGTAGATTAAAGTAATGAAGTTAATTAAGAAAATGTACACATAAGAATCCCTAAAATAAATCTAAACTAAAATTGGTATACCTTCCAATAATATGTTCTGAATACAGCTGTTAACTGTTTATTCTGTGTAAATGGTGATTGTGATAATGTGTGATAAGTGTGCAGTTAAACTTGAAAGTAGTTTAATTTATATGTTGCTGTATTGTTTTAAATTATATGTGAATCAGTTTGTCACAGTCTAGTGATACTGATACGAATGACAGCCAAATAACCTAGCAAATAACTGTTTTATTAGTTGTTGAATACTAGCGTTTTGGCCAAGAATAGTTGGAGATTTGGAGGTGTTAGTTTAAGATTGCTTTTATATTGTGTCTATCCGTGTTTCCTAGGAGGGAGACAGAGTGTGTAGTTGTGTGCCCATAAATGTGATTTCTGTATTGGCATATCTGCTGGGTACCCATTATGTGTTTCTACAAAGATATTGCTTTGTGAGATGACGTGTAATATTACATGGGATGCTGAGTATGAGTTATATGGTTTGAAATGAATTGGTGATTATGAGCTTAGTACTTCAGTAAGATGTGCTAAAATTTGGAACAAGGTGGAAGCTGAAATGTTGGGATTATGGAAGAATAGGCAGTCTATATTCACTGCTTTGGCATATAAGCAGGATGCAAAGGAAGAGATTGGTAATATGATTTTTGTAAAGAAATTTTACAAGTGTTGGAAGGATGAGGCAGGTTTGATGTCTGGAGATGATATAGATATCTTTAAAATACAGTCATACCTTGGTAATATGTTGCCACAGTATTCTTTGCTTGTGAAACAATTGATTTCAGACTGGGCCAATTTGGATAGCTCAGATTTTCTTACCAAGGTTATAGAAAAGGAAAATGCAGGTTGTTTTGAATTAAGAAAAGATTTAGGAAAGTAAGGTTGCTTATTATGCTCAGGGATTGCCACCTACACAGGCTGAGAGCGAGGATGGGATGGAGCACATAAAGCCCGTGGAAGGGGTGGTCAAAGAGGGGCAAGGGGATGGAGACAGGGAAATCAGGGTTATAGGGGCAGGGGTAACCAAGGAGGAATAGTCAGGAACACTTGTTTCAACTGTGGCCAATATGGCCACTGGAGGAATGAGTGTCCACACCCCAGGAAACCCCAGGAAACCCCACACACCCCAACAACCCCACAATTCTCAAAATATGCCCGGTAGGCAAGAACAACACCAGACCCACTCCCAACACCACTGGCCAGCATATCGCTTAGTTCAGGACTTTAGAGCCCTGAATAGTTTAATTGTGCCCATTTCACCCATTGTCCCTGACGTGACATCCCTCATTACAGCCAGTGGTGTATCCTGGTTTTGTGCTGCCCTAGGCAGGACAAAACGCAGGCGCCCCTCCCCTCCCCCCGCGCCAACCCCCCCTGCACCAACCCCCCCCCCACCTTCTAAATACACACACATTCACTGACAGATACGCATACACTCGCTAACAGAAACACACACACACTAACAGACACACTCACACTCACTAACTGACACACACTCACTAACACACACACACACTCCCAGGCAAACACACTCACACAGTCAGATACACACACACTCACTGACACACTAACAGACAAACATAGTCAGACACACACAAACAGACACACTCACTCACTAGCAGACACACACACACACACTAACAAACACACACACATTAACAGACACACACACACTCACTGACACACAGTCAGACACACACACACACATACACACTAACAGACACAGTCAGACACACACACACTAACAAAACACACACACATTAACAGACACACACTCACTCACTCACATTAACACATTTTTTTATTTATTTTTATTTAGCCCCCCCCCCCCTTACCTTTGGGAGTGCTGGGAGGGAGGGGTTCATTACCTCCCTGGTGGTCCAGTGGATGCTGGCTGGGCTGGCGGGCGGCGCTGGGCAGGCGGCTGGCGAGGGAGCTCTTCCCCTGAGCGGTCTGCTCAGCTCCCTCGCGCGCCGCAAAGTGAGGCTGGGAGCCGGAAGATGACGTCATCTTCCGGTTCCCAGCCTCACTCTGCGGCGCGCGAGGGAGCTGAGCGGACCGCTCAGGGGAAGAGCTCCCTCGCCAGCCGCCTGCCCAGCGCCGCCCGCCAGCCCAGCCGGTCAGTTAGCCGCGAGGCTAACAAAGCATTTGCCTGGGCATTTGGGGGGCGGCGTTTTTTGCCGCCCCCTGAAAAATGCCGCCCAAGGCAAATGCCTTGTTTGCCTCGCGGCTAAAACGCCCCTGATTACAGCCATTCCACATGATGCCACTTGCTTCACTGTCATTGATTTAAGTAATGCATTTTTTTCTATACCTATTGATCAAGAGACACAGCTACTTATGGTTTTTATTTTTTGAAGGCTGTCAGTTTACCTGGACACGCTTACCCAAGGCTATGTGGATTCCCCAGCTGTTTATTCGCTGGTACTCCAACATACTCTAAAAAACATGGACCATCGGTCATGGTTCCGTCCTTTTTGCAAAATGTTGATGATTTGTTGTTATGTAGCCCTAGCTATGAGGCAAGCACTGTGGATACTGTCAGCAACTATAGGTCACAAGGTTGTTAAACACAAAATGCAATTGTGTAAATCAAAGGTTGAATACTTAGGTTTTGTTCTGGCTTTAGGCACCAGACAATTGAGTCCAAAACGTATTGAGGTCATTCAGAGGATTCCAACACCCACTACTCGGAAGGAGTTGCTCACCTTCCTCGGCATGATTAATTACTGCCACCATGGATCCCTGAATGCTCCCATTATGACTCAATCCTAAGGGAGGCTGTACGTTCTGACAGCCCTGAAAATGTCTGCTGGTCACCAGACATGCTAGCTGCATATATTGCCCTTACAGTTGTTATTGTGCAAGCCCAGGCTTTAGGACTACCTGTGTATTGTAAACCATTTCATTTGTATGCTTGGGACAATTGTAAAACCATGGCCGCGGTCTGTGCACAAGAGCAAGGAGGCGGTATGCGTCCCATAGCATTCTTTTCCAAAGTAGTTCAAGCTCCGGTACAGGGTATGCCGGCGTGTCTCAGAGCATTGATAGCATGTGCAATGGCTGTTGAAACTGCCAGTCACCAGGTCACTCAGCTGACAAATCTCACCACACAACACATGACAGCCCAGCGCTTCAGTGGTTATGAGATTCTTTTTTTTAAATACCCACAATCTGTCTTTTGGATTAAACAAGGTTTAGAGAAAGATCAAAATGATCTGTTCTCTAAAGAGGGGAGAATAGGCATACTTGAAGAATAGGCATACTTGAAGCAAGCTGATTTATTTTCATCAGTCAGGCACATAGCAAGCACCATTCAATTCTTCATGAATTCATTTTATATTAGGAATCTCAGGCAGCATGTACAGTCTTTTGTAAGATCGTGTGAACGCTGCTCTTTTTACACACTTACAGATTGATTTTATTCATGTATCCAAAATTGGTAAGAAACAGCAATACTTACTGGTCATAGTTAATCAGTTTAGTAGATGGCATGAGGCCTTTGTGACATCTAGGGAAGATGCTAGTGAAGATTATTGTTACTGAAATTATTCCCCGGTATTGCTGCCCTCTGCAGATTGGCTCTGATAATGGCCCGGTTTTTGCAAGTAGGGTTGCCCAGGAACTTGCTAAATTCTTGCAAGTTACCTGGCAGTTTTATATACCCTATCATCCACAGAATACAGGGGTAGTTGAAAGGATGAATAGGACTATTAAGGAAAAGCCCAGAATTTACCCAGGAACATGGGTAAATTGGACTAGATATCTACCAGCTATTTTAGCTGAGATAAGAGTGATTCCTCACAAGGTGACTAAATTATCTCCATCTGAGATTTTTGATGGGATGACCTTTTCCCACACCCTGGGCCAGGGAACCGCTTGTTATAATGTCTGTGGATTTACAGCTAATACAAGAACAATATGTACAGGAGTTGTTGATAAAACTGAATGGTATGTATGACAATGTTTCTTCGCAGTTTTCCCTTACCTTCACAGGAACCTACTCATTCATACCAGCCCGGTGACAAGGTGTATATCCGTCAGTTGAACAGGACCAAGAAAGGAGGATACCCTTTTGGACCACCTGCTACTGTGATTGCTGTACCCAGAACCGCTGTCCACAGATTCCCACAACATCTGGATTCATGCATCCCGAGTGAAGCTGTGTCCAAAGAGGGGAACCAAGGAAGACAACACCACTCCTCGCTCGGAAACAGAAGAATTTCTCCTCAGCGAAGCATCATGGCTTTCACACCGTATCGTAGATTGAGAGGATCATACGTACCTGAGACCAAGATTATGTTGTGCGCTATGCTTTCTGGAGTTGTTATACTCCCTCTGATATTGTTCCTTGAATGCCATTATGAGTACAAGTCAATGGCAAGTTCTGGAAAAAGACTCTGACATGATGAACAATTCTTCAATACCCCCAGCCCAATTAGGCCTTAGCTCCTCATCTAGCATTCGTCACACACACCCCCTCAAGAACCTTTCTCCACCACCTTTCTATCAGCATGCAATATGCAATCATTCATTTACTGAACGCATTTGGATGAATTGGACAAATAGTAACCCTTATAAGTACCAGTTACCCATATGAAATGTGTCTACAGCTAATGAAACCGATGCATTATGTTTGTTTAAAGGTTTACAGAAAATTGTTAGATCTTATAACGCAGAAATGTGCACAGTTAAGGTTGCATATCAATGTAAACAGACAGGCCTTATTACTTTTAATAATGATTATATAACTGGTATCATTAATTGGAAAAGGGGACAAATGTTAGTCATTATGAACGACACTACAATTGAGAACTATACACTACCTTATATTTTTACACCTTATTACTGTCCTTTATCCTCTACCATAGAACCAAAAGTCAAACACGACACACACACACCTATTCCGTCCACATGTATTAATACAACTGCCTTCTTACAAGCTGTACATGTGTAATTAAAAATCACTACTCCTGTTGTAACATTATGTAACACAACAAACAAAAGGCAGAAAAGGGAATGGTATGACACACTGTTAGATGGTGCTGGAACCACTATGGGTATACTAAATAGTTATAGATATGGAGACCCTCAAGAATAAGTTAAACACAGCCAGCATGCATATAGGGACTGGTTTTCATGCTACTGCAAACTGGGCTCCAACTGTTGTTAAATCACAGGTTACAGGATTGGATTTAGATAAATCAATGTATAATTATTTAGATAATTTAACTGTTGCAACTATGAAATTCACTACAGGTCTAAGTAACTGGAGTACCTGTGCCATCAGGTATTTATGGATACAACAACAAAGACTGGCATTAGAAAACACACTAATGATTCCTAAACTAGAGAAGATTAGAGGAATGCTTAACCTCACAGATAATGAATGGTTACTTCTAAAACCCCAATCCACTAAATGCAATGGATGGTTAACTGGTAATGTTTCACATTTTTCATGCTCATGCTATTTTACATTATATCATACATCATCAAAGGATGTTAAATTAGCTTGTCAATTTAACACATTACCAGTACCAGTTTATGATCTTTTTGCCAAGAATTTAACCTGGTGGGCACCCACATACACAGGGGACTATATTTTTCCCAAAGATAACACACACAGGTAGCCACACATATCCTAAAAGGAGAACTCCTTAAGGTGAGTTCACAAATTCAGAATGATTTAGCCCATCATTGGTACAATGCTTCACTGGTTGGTCCCCTACTGGATCTCAGATAATGAAATCATTCTTCTATCATTTTGTTATTATAGTCCTGATTTTATTGTGTATGATTTTATATAACTGTCACCTTACTTGTACATTGAGGAAGAGAGTACAGAAATGAATCCATAATGCAGAACAGAAACAATTAAAAATTCTCCTCTCTGCCACTGTAGAGTATCAACCCATCTTTAAACTGGGCCTTAGGAATTACCACATGGGAATCGAGGTGAAGAAATTAATGAAAGTCCCGCAGGGAGTGACTAGCACCCCTGAAAATACCATGTGGAAGTTTCTCTGTCCTGGTAAGATTTTATCGATAAGATGAGCAATTGTTTTATTGCTCAAAGAGGGGAATGTAAGAATATTAAATAGTTAACTTGTTTATATGTATTTTATGCTTTTATAAGGTTTATAACATGATTATTGCTGACTGAAGGAATATTGAATACTTAAAGTCAATATGCTGACTGTGACAGACTAAGGTATTTCTTCTATAGGATGTAAGACAATGCTAAATTTCAGGATTTCTTGCCCATTCCGATTTTAAGGATATTCTTTTCCAGACGTATGCAAAAGCTTATCTTTCCATTGTCAGAATAACGTAATACAAGGAAGTAATAAATCTTATAGTCTGTACTGTATTTGCATATACCATGGCTAATGTAAGCAAACTATGTATAAAAGCCAGCTCTGGAATACACTCATTTGAGAGTCTTGTAAAGCTGTTGTCCGTGTGTTATTGCTTACAAATGATTCTCCATCAACATTGATTATGGTGACCGAGGGATCGAGAACCGAGGGGATTAGAGTCCATTACAACATTAACCCTTTCAACATGTACTGAGAACTTTAAGGGTTACTGCCAAAGAATACCCCAATATGCGTTCAGCAACATCACCTGAGTACAGTGATACCACCCATGTATATATGTGTCGGGTTCTCTGTGGGCTAAAAGACCTTATTTGGAGGGTGCGCATTCCAGTTTTCCAATTTGGAATTTTCACAGCTGGTCATCATGCAGCCATGTCCTAAACCGGCCAATGTAATTTACCCCCATCAAACCATATATTTTTGAAAAGTAGACATCCCAGGGTATTCAATATGGTGTGTGTCCAGTCTTTTTTAGTAGCCACATAGTCACAAACACTGGCGAAAGTTAGCATTTATATTTATTTGTTTGTGTGTTAAAAATGCAAAAAATTAATTGTGAATGCTAACTTTGGCCAGTGTTTGTGACTAAATGGCTACTAAAAACGACTGGACATGCTCCACTTGCAATACCTTGGGTTGTCTAATTTTGCAAATGGTATGCCATCATGGGGCTAATTCTCATTCCTGGGCTACCACACGCAGGAAAAGGCAATGTGTTTACATTAAAAAGCTTGCAGGGACAGGCTATATACACCAAAACCACTACATTAAGTGGTAGTGGTTCTGGTGACTATAGTGTCCTTTTAATGTGAGGTAAATTAGAGATTAGTACCACTAATATTATACTGAATTGCCTACTTACCACCAGATGAGGAAAAGAGGATGATGGTGCGCTCAGTCTGGCTGCAGTCAGTCTGGTGTTAAAACAGGCTCTCTGGAGGCAGTGCTCACAAAAATCAGCAAACAGGAACCAGCTCCATTTTTTGGGGCCCTTACAGGGCCTGACTGAGTATGCCTTCAAGGCCCACCCATGAGTTTGTTCACAGGGAGTGAAGTGTATGTGTGTAGGGGATGTGTTATGTGTTATTGTAGAGGATGTAATGTGTGTTCTTATGGAATGAAGTGTACTATTTTTAAATACATTTATTGATAGGAAGCTGATAGGAGTATTTTATGTTGCTTGAAAGTTGATGTTATGATCTCATTGTGAGTCAATGTGGAATTACCAACACTATGGCTCTGTCCTTTAGTGAGCCCTATTTGAAACATAACGTTTCAATCGATGTTTCCCTCCATCTGTTCTATTATTTATTACAGTTTTCTTTTCTTTTCTCCTTGTAGATTAGACATATAGCTACCCCCTTTACAATGCATTCCATTCTTACAATTGGTTATATATTTGTACTAATATTTTTTTTTTTTTAAATCTTGCAAGTAATATAATTATATACTCATTTTGGTGTCTGTTTCTTAGGGGTTAATAACACACTTAGCCCCCTCTTCTGTTACACATCTGCACCAATTCAATAATTTTATAATTGTGCAAGCAATCTAATATTTGTCAGGAAACTGACAGGGATCCAATACGCAGAGTGCGCACAGAAGGAGGTACGTATACCGGACCTTAGAATGGCCGGACTAACGTAAGGACAAAGCAAGAATAGTCAAAAGGTAAGCCGAGGTCAAGGGAGCCGGAGGACAGGTAAGCGAGATACAATCCGAGTCAAAGGAGAGGAGAAGACAACAGGACAAAAGGCAAGCAAGGGTCAAAACCGGAAACACTAGATAAAGAACGCGCTGAGTGACTAGCAAGCTAGAACCACGACAGGGCAATGAGCAGTAGTAAAGGTTTCCTTTAAATACCCTGTTACCTAAATAGAGACCACGCCCCCAAAAGGTCCGGAATAGCGGTTCCCGGCACTTTATGCAAATGCCGACGTCATGACGTCGACGCTAGCCGTCGCGTCATAAAAGGGGGAGGAGCTAGCGCGGCCGGCGCGAAAACGGCCGAAATATGCCGAAATGCTAGGGGAAGGGAGCCCCTAAGCAGAGAGGATGTCCTCCCTGGATACATCACCAACAGGTACCCTGACAGTACCCCCCCTTCTAGAAACGCCCACCGGGCGGATGGGACCTGGCTTAGAAGGAAAACGAACGTGGAAGGCCCGTAGAAGACGAGGAGCATGCACGTCTATACCAGGAACCCAAGACCTCTCTTCTGGACCATAACCTTTCCAGTCTATGAGGTATTGCAGCTTCCCCCTAGAAATACGAGAATCAAGGATGGACTTGATGATATATTCCTCCTGACCATCCACACGGACCGAGGATGGAGGAGTAGAGCGGGAGGAAAATCTGTTACAAACAAGAGGTTTCAATAAAGACACATGAAAAGAGTTAGGGATGCGTAGAGTAGGAGGTAGATCCAGCAAATAAGAAACCGGGTTGATCCTCCTCAGTACCCTGTAAGGACCAATGTAACGAGGAGCAAACTTCAAGGAAGGAACTTTCAGGCGAATGTGTCTGGTACACAACCAGACCCTATCCCCCGGAGAAAAAATAGGAGCAGGACGTCTACGCCTATCAGCATGTGACTTAAACACCGCGGAACTACGTTCAAGAATTTGTCGAGTCTGATCCCACAACTTTCTCAGGTTGGCTATATGAATATCAACCGACGGTATACCCTGGGAAGGAGACACCGACGGAAGAACAGTAGGGTTAAAGCCATAGTTCAAGAAAAAGGGGCTATTATGAGTGGAACCACAAACAAGGTTGTTGTGAGCAAACTCCGCCCAAGGAATCAGACCGACCCAGTCATCCTGGTGTTCAGAAACAAAACAACGTAGATATTGCTCAATTTTTTGGTTAGTGCGTTCGGCTGCTCCGTTAGATTGAGGATGATAGGCCGAAGAAAAATTCAGTTTGATGCCCAACTGTGAACAGAAGGATCTCCAAAAACGGGAAATAAATTGGGAACCCCTGTCTGACACAATCTCATTGGGAATACCATGTAAACGGAAAATTTCTCTAGCAAATATCACGGCCAGTTCGGGGGAGGACGGAAGTTTAGGCAAGGGAACGAAATGAGCCATTTTAGTAAATCTGTCAAGGACCGTGAGTATAACTGTATGCCTATTGGAAGCTGGTAGATCAACAATAAAATCCATAGCCAAGCAAGCCCAAGGTTTGTTGGGAACGACTAAGGGCTGCAATAAACCACAAGGGAGATCCCGCGGAAGTTTATTCCTGACACAAACATTGCAAGCCTTGACAAAGTCTTCCACATCCCTACGTAAACCGGGCCACCAGAAGTCTTTTGAGATCAGGCAGTAAGTTTTGTGGATGCCGGGGTGACCAGCGATCTTGCTATCGTGGAAACAGCGAATAATGTCCACTTGGAATTTGGGAGACACGAACAAGCGGCCCACAGGAGTACGTTCGGGAGCAAGAGATTGTTCGTTCTGAATATCAGCGAGCAATGGAGAGTGTATTTTGACATTGGTGTTGGCGATAATATTGACTTCAGGAATAATAGGGAACAAAGTATCCTCTGTAGAGGTGGTAGGTTCGTGCTGACGTGACAAAGCGTCTGCTTTAGTGTTCTTAGAACCAGGCCTGTAAGTAAGCACATAATTAAAGTGTGTAAGGAACATAGACCAACGTGCCTGCCTGGCAGATAATCTTTTGGCCTCCCCCATATACGATAAATTTTTGTGGTCAGTCAAGATAGTAACTGGGAGGACGGTGCCCTCTAACAAATGTCTCCATTCCTTTAATGCCATAATGATAGCTAAAAGTTCTCTATCACCAATGTCATATCTCCTTTCAGTGTGTGACAGTTTCTTGGAAAAAAAACCGCAAGGGTGCAGCGGCTTATCTAAACTTTGTCTTTGGGATAACACTGCGCCTATCCCTGTTTCAGACGCATCAACTTCAAGTAAAAAGGGTAGAGAGGTATCAGGATGAACTAATACAGGTGCTGAGGCAAAAGACTGTTTGAGCGTTTCAAAAGCAGATAAAGCCTCAGTAGACCAGGTTTTGGTATCGGCTCCTTGTTTGGTCATATTAGTGATAGGAGCGATAACAGAGGAGTACCCTTTAATAAACGTCTGTAATAATTAGAAAATCCAAGAAATCTTTGTATGGCTTTGAGTCCCTTAGGTAAAGGCCAATCTAAAATCGATTTTAGTTTGGTCGGGTCCATCATAAACCCGTCTTTGGAAATTACGTAACCTAAGAAAGTTACCTGAGACTGGTCAAAGCTACATTTTTCCAATTTACAATACAATCCATGTTGTAAAAGTTTCTGTAATACCTTTCTGACTTGTCTATGATGTGAATTAATGTCTCTAGAATGGATTAGTATATCATCCAAATATACAATTACACATTCATGTTGGAATTCTCTAAGAACTTCATTGATCAAGTCTTGGAAGACGGCCGGGGCGTTACAAAGCCCAAACGGCATTACGGTATACTCATAATGCCCGTAACGGGTATTAAATGCTGTCATCCATTCATCTCCTTGTTTAATTCGCACTAAGTTATATGCTCCCCTTAAGTCAAGTTTAGTAAAAATACTCGACCCCTTTAGTCTGTCAAAGAGTTCAGTAATCAAAGGAATAGGGTAAGCATTTCTGATAGTAATTTTGTTCAATCCCCGATAGTCTATACAAGGGCGTAAGGTACCGTCTTTCTTTTCTACAAAAAAGAAACCCGCCCCCGCCGGAGAAGAAGACTTTCTAATAAATCCCTTGTCTAAATTCTCCTTGATATATTCCTCTAAAACTAAGTTTTCCTTGGTGGATAGAGGGTATACCGTACCCCTGGGAGGCATAGTACCAGGGAAAAGTTTAATAGAACAGTCATAAGACCGGTGGGGAGGTAAAGTAGCCTTACCCTTGTCAAATACAGATTTGAGGTCTAGATATTGTAATGGTATCTGAACGTCTGTGGATTGAGAAGTGTTAGCATAAGAGTTCACGGGGCAAACAGAAGTAACTCTCTGCAGACATTCTTTCCTACAACCCATACCCCAAGAAACGATTTCTCCACCCTCCCAGTCAATCTGAGGGTTGTGTCTCTTGAGCCAAGAATATCCTAGAACCACTGGGACTGCCGGGGAGGAAATTAACAGAAGGGAAATCAACTCTTCGTGGAAAATACCAACAGTAAGCTTAACGGGTTCGGTCTCATGGAATATTACTGGTTCAGATAAAGGTCTACCATCTATGGCCTCAACGGCCAAGGGTGTATCTCTCAATTGGAATGGGATACAATGCTTATTAGCGAAAGTTTGGTCTATAAAGCTTTCTGCTGCTCCAGAATCTAATAATGCCATCGTAGTAATAAACCCCTTTTCCCAAGCTAGAGAGACAGGAATCAGAAGCCTATGGTCTTTTTTATTATGCATAGAGGACAGTAATGAAACACCCAAGGCCCGTCCTCTAAGGGAACTTAGGTGCGAGCGTTTCCCGGACGATTAGGGCAACTGAGACGTAGGTGACCTCTCAGCCCGCAGTATAAACAGAGACCCTCCCTTCTTCTGTACTGTCTCTCAGCCTCAGATAAGCGAGTATTACCTATTTGCATAGGTTCTGGTAGAGTAGGATTATAGGAGTCAGGGTTCTGAAATGAGGGAGCGAGTCTTACAGGAAGTCTAGTAACTCTTTCCCGAGTGTTCTGCCTCTGTCTCATGCGTTCATCTATTCTGGAAATGAAGGATACTAAATCCTCTAAATTTTCCGGAAGTTCTCTTGTGGCAATTTCATCTAGAATTTCATCAGACAACCCATTCAAGAAAACATCCATAAAAGCTTGTTCGTTCCATTTCACTTCTGCTGCCAATGATCTAAACTCTAGAGCATATTCTACAAGGGTCCTATCTTGTTGTTTAAGGCGTAACAGGGATCTGGCCGCATTAATCTTCCTCCCTGGGGGGTCAAAGGTTCTTCTAAAAGCCGTGACAAACGCAGTGTAGTTGTAGACTAAAGGATTGTCATTCTCCCAAAGGGGATTGGCCCATCTAAGTGCTTTATCTATTAGCAGGGTTATAATAAAGCCTACCTTAGCCCTGTCAGTGGGGTAAGCCCGGGGTTGTAGTTCGAAATGTATACTTATCTGGTTTAAAAAACCACGACAAGCATCAGGCGAACCCCCATATCGTAATGGTGACGTGACATGGGAAGATGCGCCTACAGTGGCTACTTCCAAACCAGTACTTAGCGAGTGGCTAGCAGTGGAACGTATTTCTTCAGACTGGGTACTGGAGCGTGTCAACAAAGTTTGTAACGCTAAAGCCATTTGGTCCATTCTATGGTCCATGGCCTCAAATCTGGGGTCAGGAGGACTAGCACCTGCAGGATCCATCATGGCCCTGTCGTAATGTCAGGAAACTGACAGGGATCCAATACGCAGAGTGCGCACAGAAGGAGGTACGTATACCGGACCTTAGAATGGCCGGACTAACGTAAGGACAAAGCAAGAATAGTCAAAAGGTAAGCCGAGGTCAAGGGAGCCGGAGGACAGGTAAGCGAGATACAATCCGAGTCAAAGGAGAGGAGAAGACAACAGGACAAAAGGCAAGCAAGGGTCAAAACCGGAAACACTAGATAAAGAACGCGCTGAGTGACTAGCAAGCTAGAACCACGACAGGGCAATGAGCAGTAGTAAAGGTTTCCTTTAAATACCCTGTACCTAAATAGAGACCACGCCCCCAAAAGGTCCGGAATAGCGGTTCCCGGCACTTTATGCAAATGCCGACGTCATGACGTCGACGCTAGCCGTCGCGTCATAAAAGGGGGAGGAGCTAGCGCGGCCGGCGCGAAAACGGCCGAAATATGCCGAAATGCTAGGGGAAGGGAGCCCCTAAGCAGAGAGGATGTCCTCCCTGGATACATCACCAACAGGTACCCTGACAATATTATACTCATTTTTGTGTCTGTTCTTAGGGGTTAATAACACACTAACCCTTATTCTAGGATCTATTATTGTGCAATACCTAACCAGCACTTGGATCCTTGAACCCATCTACAGTGGCTACTGTATCTTTTTCTATTTCGTTTTCTTTCTTTGTTTGCTACATTTTTAGTAGCTCATCATGCTCCTAACATTTGGAACTTATACTCCTCTGCAGCGATTTTTTTTTTTTTTACTGCTTTTGCCTTTGTTCCTTTGTCCTATCATTATATCTTTTGTTTACATATGTTTCGTTACACTTGTGTATACATATACTTTTTCATTATCTGTTCCTGCTGTTTGGGACTTTTAAGGGTTAACATTCTCCCTCCGCCTTATTGACATCACTAAATGGGCGGATCGATTTCTATGACGCTTCTATACTCACCAATCAGAAGCTTTCTTTGGCAACCAATCAGGAGCGATGGGCTCCCTTTTTAAACTGAGTGTTCCACACCGATCGGTTCCCTTCTGACGAGCCTGGTCGGGTGAAACGCGCGCGTCAAGGGCATCAACTATGTTGCTTACCATACTTAGCTGATTTTCCTTTCGAGTTGCTCCTGTTGTATACCATACCAGGGGGGTTGGATTTAGGTGCCCTCGAAGGCACGGGGAGGTTATTTTCAGATAGGTTGTTTATCCAGAATTATTGTTCTCTTTATAGATCATTCATTATTCATTGCTATCAGATTATACTAATTTAAGGTTTGCTATTTAACCCTTCTCATCCATAGCAAACCCTATAGGGAATGTGACAGTGTCTCTAGCTTTCTATTTTTTACACAGAAGCTTCACTACCAGTTTGATATACAGTCAACTTTTATGTAACTGCAGCAACAATTTTTACTGGCGGTTTGCTACTTTTTTCACCATCCATATGTATACAATTGAGCTTGCTAGTGTTACACTATACATCAGGACACTGTCTACTTAGGCAGTTCGTTTGCTTTTATTGCATATATTTACTAAGGATTTATACCCTTTACATTATAGGGTCTATCTTCCCCTTCTTTCCTCCCCCCCTCCCCTTTTTTCTCATTATATCATTATTTTGACTAAGCACAGACGTGTGCTTCAACTGAAAACTATTAGAGGTGCAACTTTAGGATCTTTTTATCCCTTGGTTACCATACCATGCTTTTCATTTAATTATTATTTACTTCAGGTGTTACTTTTATTATTTCATTTTTTGTGTCTTACACTTTGGGTGATTGCCAAGTTTTCTGGCAATTTTTAATTATTGATATTTGTTTCAATAAATGATTTTTTGTTTTCATTTCTCTCTAGCCTCATACTGGTATTATCATCCTCAGTACTTTAAATGTGCTCCCAATACCCCCATACTGGTATACTACGCTCCTACTTCCTTTTTTGATTCCACTGGGGGTTACCCCCTTCTCCTCTAGTATACCATAGTGAACTGTACTCATTTTGTTTCTCAATGTGGAAAAATAAGCCTGATTGCCTTGTGGAGGAGTCCAGGTGAGGTCGGATTATAGAGTAGAGTGAACTAATAAAGTAGGAAGGAGTAGGTTGGGTAAGGTTATAGTCTATGGAATGATTCCAATCTGTAGAACTAAAATGAGGAAGAATAGTGCTAATCCAGCAGTGCGATTGGAGGTATGTGGAGAAAGGAGCATGAATCTCAGAAAATTTCTAATTGTTGAAATTAAAGAATTGTTTTCTTATGGTCATCGTGTATCATGGAAACCGTGTATGGTAGCTTAGCCCGCAGTCTCTCAAGTACAGTATGGGTATTGAACTTCCCCATCTTGAAAATGTGGGTTATGTAAAAAAGGGACACATCCAGTGTATTGCCACTGAAGTCCTAGAATTTATCTCACTAACTTCTATGCTCTGATAGTAGATGCCAGTTGAGCATTTTCTTGTGCCTCCTCTGGGATGGAGACATAGGGAGTATGTACCAATTGTAAAAATAGTACTCCAGAGCAATGTTGTATTTCTATAAATATCACAGTGAATTGTCCAGATCATCTTACCCAATCAAGGGCATGGCAATAGTGTGCGGTTAAAGTATAGAGTTTTAGATTTGGAACATAGAGACCTAGATTAAATCTGAATTGATATAATTTATGTAACACAATCCTCTGATATTTATGTTGCCAGAGGAATTTAGAGAAGAGAGTATTGAGTTGATTCTCATTTGAGCATGAGAGAAGGATGGGTAAAGTCTGTAGGGGGTATAGAATCTTTAATATTTATTTTTCTAGATGGTGTGAGGCAGTTCTGGTACAAGGATTTTTGCCACCCTAGGCAAACAAAAATTTGCCGCCCCCCCATGTGACATCACAATGCCCCACCCATATGATCTGCCATATGAGCCAGCGCCAATACTGCACACAGTGTCTTTTCTCTGAAAAGGCAGTGTGTTTACATTAAAAAGCCTGCAGGGACAGGGTATAGACACCAGAACCACTACATTAAGCTGTAGTTGTTCTGGTGACTATAGTGTCTCTTTAATGTCAGGTAAATTAGAGATTAGTGCCACTAATAATATACTGGATTGCCTACTTACCACTAGATGAGGACAAAAGAATGATGATGGGCTAGGGCTACAGTCTGGCTCCACTGGTCTCTTGTTAAAACAGGCTCTCTGGAGGCAGTGCTCACAAATATCAACGAACAGGAACTAGCTCCATTTTTTTGGAGCCCTTTACAGGGCCTGACGGTGAGTATGCCTACAAGGCCCGCCCATAAGCCTTATGCCTTCAAGGCCCACCCATGAGCTCGCTCACATGGAGTGGAATGTATGTGTGTAGGTGATGGGTTATCTGTTATTGTAGAGGATGTAATATGTGTGTGTTCTCATGGAATGTAGTAGTGTATAGAGATACCAGTTTGTGTAAGGGATGTAGTGTGTGTTTGTGTAAGGGATGCAGTGTGTATGTTTGTGTGTAAGAAATGCATTGTGTGTTTCTGTGTGGGATGCATTATGTGATTCTGTGTTTGTATGTGTAAGGGATGCAAGGTGTGTGTTTCTGTGTATGTATGTAATGTAATGCACTGTGTGTCTCTGTTAGGGGTGCATTGAGTGTGTGTAAGAGATGCATGGTGTTCCTGTGTGTGTAAGAGAAGCAGTGTGTGTGGCTGTCCATAAGGGATGCATTGTGTATTTTTGTATGTAAGGGATGCCGTGTGTGTGTAAGGGAAGCATTGTGTGCTTCATACATTGATTACAGAGCTCCATACACTGATTACAGAGGGCTCCGCCTCCATACATTCAGCAGAGCTCCATACAGTAAATATACAGAGCTCCATGCACTGATTACAGATGGCTCCATACATTCAGCCCCTCTAATGGCTGTCTGATAGACAGCCACTGGAGGCAGACTTAGTCCTGCAATGTTATTAATGCAGTTTTTAATGATTTATGATACAATGATTTACATTGTAGGGCTAAGGGGGAACAGGGACAGTGCACCCAGACCGCTTCGATAAGATGTCTATAGTGTCCTTTTAAAGTAGGGTAAATGTTTACATCTCAATAATCACAAGCTAGTAGCATTAAAAGAACCTTTAGTGTCAGGAAAACAAACATGTATTCCTGACACTGTAGTGTTTAACTATTTAGGTTCCCAGTCCCCCTTGCAGCGCTGTAAAAAGGTGTTTAACCCCTTAAGGACACATGACATGTGTGACATGTCATGATTCCCTTTTATTCCAGAAGTTTGGTCCTTAAGGGGTTAAACTTAAGTTTACTCTCACGCCTCACTGGTCTTCAACAGATCATCTTGATGATCTCAGCCAAACCAATGCATTCCCATAGGAAACAACAAAGAAAAAAAGGAAAGCATTGGGAGGCAAATGCACATCCATGAGAAACAATGCACTGCGCCAATCAGCATCTCCTCATAGAGATGCATTGAATCAGTGCATCTCTATGTGGAATATTCAGCGTCTCCATGCAGAATGTGTAGACACTGAACATAGGTGTTGCACACTGTGCAGATCTATTGACCATTTGAGTGACTGCCTCTAGAGGTGTTATTAGGCAGCAATGTAAACACTGCCGTTTCTCTGAGAAGGCAATGTTTACAGTGCTAAGTCTCCAGAGACAGGCTATAGACACCAGAACCACTACATTGAGCTAGTGTCCCTTTAAAGAACACTCAAAAAAACATAACCACTACTGCATACTGTACTCTTGTCAGGATTACTATTGATCCAGCACGCAGAATTGTATCACACCTAGGCAGGGGCGGACTGAGAGCCTTTGGGGCCCCCGGGCAAAATTAGATCCTAGGCCCTTTGAAGGCCAAATATATGTGCATTAAATAAATGTTAAATATAATTTTCCTATAATACGGCATTCCTTTGGATGTGTATATTGTGAAGACCTGTGTATCAATGCATGTTTGTATCTGAGTCTGTGTGAATGCACTTGTGCATGTCTGGATGACTACATATGCTATTTTGTATATAGTGTCAGTGTGAATGTATATGTGTATTGAGCGTTAGTGCGTGTCTGCATGTGCAGGGGTGTGGAATTTTTTTTTAAATCTACTTGTCCAAGGGTGGAGACAGGTGACAGAGTGAGTGTGAGGGAGGGGGTGACAGGTGGAAGAGTGTGGGAGGTGGTGACAGGTGGCAGAGTGGCACCTGGTGGCAGAGTGAGGGGGAGACACAGTGAAGGGGTGACTGGTGACAGAGTGAGGGAGTGGGTGACTAGTGACAGAGGGAGGGTGACAGAGAGAGGGAGGGGGTGACTCAGGTGACAGTGAGCAGGCTGGGGTGACTAGTGGCAGAGTGAGGGAGGGATGGGGTGACTAGTGACAGAGGTAGGGGGTGACTAGTGACAGTGAGGGAGGGAGGGGGTGACTAGTGACAGAGTGAGGGAGGGGTGACTAGTGACAGAGTGAGGGAGGGGTGACTAGTGACAGAGTGAGGGAGGGGTGACAGTGAGGCAGGTGACTAGTGAACAGAGTAAGGGAGGGGGTGATACAGTAACAAAGTGAGGGAGGGGATGACTGGTGACAGAGTGAGGGGTGACAAGTGACTGAGGGAGGGATGGGGTGACTAGTGAGAGTAAGGGAGGGGGTGGCAGAGTGAGGGGTGACAATTGACAGGGGGAGGGATAGGGTGACTAGGGAGGGATGGGGTGACTAGTGAGAGTAAGGGAGGGGGTGACTGGTGACAGAGTGAGAGGTGACAAGTGACTGAGGGAGGGATGGGGTGACTAGTGAGAGTAAGGGAGGGGGTGGCAGAGTGAGGGGTGACAATTGACAGGGGGAGGGATAGG